AAATTGCAAAAATTTATTATGCATTATCTTTATACTTGCCACTTGCATTTATTTTGATTACATTAAAGATACTTAATTTAAGTGTGCAGTTATGAAAGGCGAACATTTTTGAATTTATTGCAAGTGCCGTAATTTATTTGCTACGTCAATAAATTTTCCATAATAATTTTTAAAAGTTATATAATTTTTAATGTCTTAGTAAAATGCTTAATTGTAGTTTTTGTATATAAAATATAGTAATGAAATAAAAAAAATTCAAATCTGAAGAACTATAAATTTCCAGTCTCGTCTGTATGTTCTTCCTTAATCTCGAGAATGCAGTTATATTAATTAATAAAAATCGAGACCAGATATACAAAGCATAGAGGAAGTCACCTTATTTCAATTCAAAAATTTTTTTCCGAAAGGTATTAGATAAATGACTAGCACGACTCTATTGTTAAAGGAAAAGAATGATTTACAGGGGAAAGCCACCGCTAATTTGAGGTGGAGAGCGTATATTTTAGACTAAATAAATTGAAAAAATGTGCTTAAAAATTGCAGCCCGTTAATTAAAACTTAACAGGTGGCATCATTTTACTGTCTCTTGGTGAGTGACATTTCTTACTATAACACTTTGAATTAGGTTACTTACAATTATCAGTTTTAAAGTTTCGTTTTTAAAATTTAATAAGAGTTACAAGCAATATAAAATATGCACTTGTTCTCCTTTATTTATCTTCCGAAAATGTTTTTAGTTATTAATTCTAAAGGGAATTAAATATTTTCTTACGTTTTAAATTATTCTATATTTTGATAAATGAATAGAATTGAGTAATTTGATGTGGAAAAATGGGTTAATTATAGTGTTTTTAAGGAAATTTCTAATTTTCTGATGAGAAATGTATCAAAAAATAATATTTTAAGCTCATTAACAGTTTCTAAGTTAGAAAATTGTAAAAATTTTTTCAGAATAAAACCGGGTTTACATTGTCGTATGATCCAGTACTAATAGAACGAAACGAAATTTTTTTATTATATTACGTGAAATACACTGTGTTAGAACGTGATTGGTTGAAAAGATTCGAACATTAGTTGTGAGAAAATGATTGGTCAAACGAATTGATAGCTGTCGAAAGTTGAGATGTTTTACAAGTTCTAACGAACTGACCTAACCGTTGACAAAGTGAACCTTGTTTAAATGATCTTAAAATAAATTGTCGTGTTTATTAGCAGATAACGTAACTTGCTTAGTGAGTGTCCTTACATGATGAAAATATAGTCCACCCCTAAGCTTTCCATATCTGGTCTCGATTTTAGTAGTGTCTGGTCTCTGTATACTGCACTTCTCCTGATGACAAATATTATTTTAATTAATATAAATAGATTCTGCCTATAAAACGATAATGGCATTGTGTGTAAAGAAATTGCAAAACATTATTCAAATCGAAGATATCATTTTAAATGCATATCATTATTTTATTCATCAAAATTCACTTCATAAGTGATGTTATTAAGATGAGAATTATCTTGTCACGTCTCTTAACCACACCGACTTAAAAGTTCATATTTAGAAACCTCAATCTTTAGAAAAGTTAGTAGGACAGACTGTAGATTAAGTTGGATAGATTTCTTACAATGATAAACTGACTAATTATCAGGATGATATATTTTAGAAATTATATTATTTTATGACAGCAGAAAAGTAACGCGTTACGTAACTTTCTGGGCAAAAAAAAAGTTAAAATTGTGTGTGGCGCCATCTATTAAGAGATTTTATTAAAATCTTTTTATACTATTAAATATTATTTAAAAAAAGATTAATTTTCAGGGTAGAGGCAAGTTTATAAAATATTGTAAATGCTAATCACGAGTAAAATATCTATTAAGTCCGACCCCTCTTGAGTCTTCTCTATCTTCTCAACCTGTGAACCTTTAACCTCCAAAATTTAACAGCATGGATACATCTAATACACAAACCTCCCTGCAAAATTTCAGAAATTTTCGCAAAAGGCACGGAAGTTATTAAGCTTCAAACAGGGTGAACGAAATGGTGACCCTCCGCACACACACTAACATTCATGCATCTTCATCCAAATGCCTTTTATGAGGCATTCCTAATGAGCTACTGATATATCAGAAAACAATTACTTACTGTTAGCGGGTCTAGCAGGCGATTGTTCGTCGACGATTTCCCCGTATATGTACTCCATTACATTTTGTCACATGGATGCGCTGCTATCTTACCTTACTTGCATGATCCTTGCTTGATCAGAATGACATTTTGCTGACTTAAATATAACTTAAGTTTCAATATAGTCACGTTTATGGTGTTGATTTTACACAGGGTTTTTGTCTGTTGCTTTAATTTGGACACCATCAAGAACAATTGAAAGTCAAAGTAATGTGTGGTCCAACTGTTATGGTTATTTTCTACTGTGTGGTCTGTTAGGAGCTGTCTTAGCAACACGTAGTTTTATAATCCTTGTTCTTTTTCGTTATTATTAAACGTTATACATTGTTATTAACACTTCGTCATTGTATCTAAAATAACGGGATCCTTTAAAAATCTAGTATATAGCTCTGTGATAAAAATTTCAATCTAATTACAGTAATACAAAATTACTCTGTGACTATTCCAGGAATGTTAATACTTTAATTAATCGTTTACATTATCTCTGTAATTATCAAAATGTTATTAACATGTTTTCAAATACTCTATACTAATTAACTCTGTACGAGGCGAATTGGCAGCACTGTGTTACCTTATTTTCATTCTTCTCGACGTATTACATTCTTTGTTTGTTCTCGAAAATCGGTTCTAAAAAATTCATTCGAATCCACAGACTTCTCGATTTTTTAAAAGTACTGTATTACATTTTACGGTCAAATGGCCAAGAGGCTAAGTTGACAGTATCTTTAAGCTTTCCATATCTGGTCTCGATTTTTGTAATATCTCGCTTCTGTACATCATAATTCTCTTGAACATAGAGTCGTGCCGGTCATCTACATAATCCGTTCTTGAGATTAACGATAGACAGACATGCAGACTACTCGAAGCTTTGAAATCGTATTTAAATCCTTGCAACCTTAATAGAACCATACTCTAATATTCAGATGCAAATTTACCATTCAAGAAGGCTTTATTCAACATATAAAGAGAAAACTTTTATATTCATTCTGTAAATATATATATATATATATTTGATGTGGAAAAATGGGTTAATTATAGTGTTTTTAAGGAAATTTCTAATTTTCTGATGAGAAATGTATCAAAAAATAATATTTTAAGCTCATTAACAGTTTCTAAGTTAGAAAATTGTAAAAATTTTTTCAGAATAAAACCGGGTTTACATTGTCGTATGATCCAGTACTAATAGAACGAAACGAAATTTTTTTATTATATTACGTGAAATACACTGTGTTAGAACGTGATTGGTTGAAAAGATTCGAACATTAGTTGTGAGAAAATGATTGGTCAAACGAATTGATAGCTGTCGAAAGTTGAGATGTTTTACAAGTTCTAACGAACTGACCTAACCGTTGACAAAGTGAACCTTGTTTAAATGATCTTAAAATAAATTGTCGTGTTTATTAGCAGATAACGTAACTTGCTTAGTGAGTGTCCTTACATGATGAAAATATAGTCCACCCCTAAGCTTTCCATATCTGGTCTCGATTTTAGTAGTGTCTGGTCTCTGTATACTGCACTTCTCCTGATGACAAATATTATTTTAATTAATATAAATAGATTCTGCCTATAAAACGATAATGGCATTGTGTGTAAAGAAATTGCAAAACATNAGAAATAAACCAGCAACGAGTTGCTCAACTTTCCCGGCAACATTTAAAAATGTTGGTGGCGCCATCTGTTATCGTATTTTATTAAATAAATTTTTATATTCTTAACTATTATAAAATAGCAAAAAGCTTAATTATGAGGATATCGATGGGTTTTATAAAGAAATTTGATAGCTAATAACGAGTAAAATCGTCATGACTTATCATGATTTTACTCGTTATTAGCATTTAAATTGACTGTGACAATAGTTTGCTTACCTAGCTGTGTTAGAACTGTGCAAATTTGCTGTGTTAAATCGCCATTCGATGCCATCTATCGACTGAAATTTAAAATAAAAACTCGTCCATAAAATTGTTAAAAAGGTAGTAATTTTAATATACTTTAATTTAAAAGAAAATAACGCTTTTATTGGTTGGTTTTCGAGACATTAATCCTATTAAATTATAGGTCGAGGAGATGGAGAAATGGAAGGTTGTCACGTGTCGTATCTCAATGACACGTGACAACCCCAATGAATAAAGACACAGTACTATGTTTTCGTGTATGTTTCACTACATATTCAACTTGTCAACTGTATCACTAAATGAACATAAAATGCCGAGTCAGAGCGAGCAATTATTTATTGTGACAATCTTCACAATGCCGGGCTGCAATTTTTAATCATATTTTTATTTTACTCGAATTATATGCACTCTAACTGAAATCAGTAGTGGCTTGCACCTGTACATCATATTTTTCGTTTAACAATACAGTTTTTCCGGTTATCCGTCTAACACCTTTGAGGGGGGATTTTCAATTCAAATAGTGTGACTTACGGTTTGCATAGGAAGTTCCTGTATAGTTAATCGGAGAATCCTTCCCCTACGGTTCCACATTTGCTGTCGACTTTTATCTATATGACTTTTTTCTCGAGAATCAGGAAAGACTAACGGACAACAGTAGGAATTTATAAATCTACAATTATTTTCAAATTGCAGCCCAAAGAGAATGTGAGGACGTGCGATAGAAGAGGCATGAAGAGGTGAAAGTAATGGTGAACATTGCTGAATAGATAATTTGTAGGAATATAGTCTCCTTTTGCCTGTTGGCTACAGGCAAAAGGAGACTATACTCCCTTTTAGAATTATGGTTGAGGACATGTATGTATGTGTGTATATGTAACTGCCCTTAGAAAGTAGAGGCACGGATCATAATTTATTAGTATCATAAAAATCTTGTATTAATTTTTAAAACAAGATTTCTCAGATTACAATTACATCAATAGAATTTGAATACAGTAATGATACAGAAAACAAGTGTTATACAATATAAGAAATGCAAAAATAGCTTAAGTAATCTGTAATCATTCATCAGGGGAAGGGAACTGACGAGAGAGAGATGATTTGAAAGAATCCCAGAAGGACGTAAGAAACATTTCGATCAAATTGCGCCTTACCTGATAGCCCAATTTGATTTGTGTATGATTTCTGAAGACCTCATCTGCATACTCCATGTTCGAAAACTCCGTAGTTATCGTTCCAACATACGTCACGATGAATCTGGTGAGGGTAACCTTATCGCGTTGGGGGGTGGTAGAAATATCGACGTACAAGTTAGTAGGACCGATGTGGCTTACCGCAAGAAAATTCAGAACCGTATTTTCTTCAATTTTAAATTCTCCAATGTATTCCGCAATTAAAGAGTGAAAAGTAAAGTAGCATCCGATGGAAATTTCTTTGAATCGTACCACATCAGCGCAGGCTCTTAGCTTCTTGAAATCATGTATATTTTTTATTTTTCCTCCGTAGAATCTGATTCTGATATCCGCCATTACATTATAGTGTAAGAAGAAAGAATCGAATAATCTGCGATTTGTCTCCTCTTGAAATCTATCGTGGAGGATCTCGTCCACGTATTTGTTTATATTCTTCACGTACGCTTGGCCATTACAATGTGCTGTGAATAATGCAAATTATATCGAATTTACATTTAATTTAACAAAAATAAAATAATGAATATAGTATAAATATAAAATTTTCTTGCCAAAAAGAGCAAGAACGACCGTACAGACGATTAATTTCATAATTTCTTCCTTAGTAAACCTTCTACTTAAAATGATTTGTTATTATAAGGTATAGTGTAAATATGTACGATGATATGTATTTGTTAAAGTATTATAAAGTAGGCTAGTATTAAGTTTTGAATATAGAATTACGTTTAATTGGAAATGAAAATCCTGAAATAATGCGATATATTTATGTAAATATAATATTATAATATCAGAAATGAAAGATTTCGAACCGTGTACGAGTGGATAACACCTACCCAACAGCAGTATTGGGTTCGCACATGGCTAATGGACCAGCTACGTGAGTTTTCTGGGTTTTCTTCACGTTTGTAACAATTAAACAGGGATCAACTTCCCACAGAAAATGCTTCTGGGTGGCCCGCAAGTTTCCTTGTAGTATACAAAGAAGTGTGGGAACTTAGTCAAATTTCAAGCTTGTCAATTCAAATTTATTTATTTATTTATTTATTGCCTGAAAACGCCACTGAAAATTGGTTAATTAATTATAATTGCCTTACAGTCCTTACTTCTAATTTATTTTTAATTGTCTACTTGAACATTACTCATTAATAGGACTTTACACTGGTGTTTAAAAATTGACATAATAATGAGAGTTAGGAAAAGTTATTGCTACAGGTGATTTAATAAAGAATATTTGTTTTTTCTGAACTAATTGAAATCTGCTGCTGTTATCTACAGTACGTCACTCTGTCTGTTCTGTGGTGTTCTGTTGCGAAATTTCGTAATTCAGATAAACCCGGATAAAATTAAAATCCCTAACTTCATTTCAAATTTGCACTCGATGATGAAATTATTAATATATTTTCTTTCTGGATAATTTCTGGTATCAGTAATTACAGTAGATCTATATAATCTATTGTTTACGTAGGCAAGTTCAAAACAATTCAATTTTTGAATCCTTCTCGTTCTAAATTAACCTATTTTTTGATTATATCGTTATTATCGATGGGATCGATTCTAAAAATATAATTGCATCTTAAATTCTTATAAAATACTCTGTATATTATACAATAATTCTTTACTTTCTGAGTGTTATATGTAATAGAGTGAAATAATGGCATTCGGTCAAACAAGTGAACCCCTCGAAGATTTTTACATTTTTCTTTTGTATTCAGAGGACTTTAAAACGTAAAAAATGCAAACAATTTAAAGATTTTTCTTTAAATCAGAAGTGCAACTGTTCAAGTATGTCGTTCGTCACTCGAATTCTCTGTATGGGTACACATTCAGATGATAATTGAACTCCTGCCAGATTGGATCGTGCATGTCCATTATGAAGGCCTTCACAGCCCATAGATTCCTGAGGGATCGGAGTTTTAGGATACTTAAGAATAAAGCCACGGTACTGTATTTTCGTATATGTTTCACTACATATTCGACTTATTAGCTGTATCATTAAATGAACGTAAAATGCCGAGTGAAAACGAGCAATTATATATTGTGACATCCTCGAGATTAAGTAAGGACAGGCGGACAGACGGGCGATAGTGGAAATTTATAAATCTACAATTATTTTCAAATTGCAGCCCAAAGAGAATGTGAGGACATGCGACAGAAGAGGCATGAAGAGGCTAAAGTAATGGTATGGAGAATATTGTTGAATAGATAATTTGAAGGAGTATAGTCTCCTTTTGCCTGTTGCTCACTCTTTTTGAATTATGGTTGAGGACATGTATGTATGTATGTATGTATATCTAAATTACCCTTATAAAGTAGAGGCATGGTTCATAATTTATTAGTATCATAAAAATCTTGTATTACTTTTTAAAACAAGATTTCTCAGATTACAATTACATCAATAGAATTCGAATACAGTAATAATACAGAAAACAAGTGTTATACAATATAAGAAATGCAAAAATAGCTTAAAATGCTGTAATCACTTATTAGGAGAAGGGAACTGACGAGATAGAGCAGATTTGAAAGAATTCAAGAAGTACGTAGTAAACATTTCGTACAGTTGTTTTCTTATCTGATCGCCTAATTTAGTTTCTATAAGATTCCTGAAGACCTCACCTCCGTACTCCAGGTTCGAAAACTCCACAGTTATCATTCCAATAGACGTCACGATGAATCTACTGAGGGTGGCCTTATCACGTTGGGGGGTGGAAGTTATATCGACGTACAAGTCAGTAGGACCGACGTAGCTTACCGTAAAAAAATTCAGAACAGTATTTTCTTCAATTTTAAATTCTCCAACGTATTCCACCATTAAAGAGCGAAAAGTTAAAGCGCATCCGATGACAATTTCGTTGGATCCTATCAAATTAGCGCAGAGTCCGTTCCTCTTCAAATCCTTTATGTTTTTTATTTTTCCTCCGTAGAATCTGATTCTGATATCCGCCATTAAATTATAGTTTAGGAAGAAAGAATCGAATAATCTGCGATTTGTCACTTCTTGAAATCTATCGTGGAGGATCTCCTCCACGTATTTGTTTGTACTCTTCACCACCGCTGCACCATTACAGTTTGCTGTGAATAATACAAATTATATCGAATTTACATTTAGTTTAACTAAAATAAAATAATTAATGGAGAATAAATATGAAATTTTCTTACCAAAAAGAGCAAGAATGACCGTATAGACAATTAATTTCATATTTTCTTCCTTCGCAAACTTTCTACCAAAAGGAAATGACCTGTTATTATATGTATAGTGTAAATATTTACGATGATATGTATTTGTTAAAGTGTTATACGGTAGTATAGTATTAAGTTTTGAATATAGAATTACGTTTTATTGGTGACTAAACACCCAATCAGCATGGTCAAGCAGGCATAGAAACAAACAGTAGTGACTCTCCTATATGAGATGAAGTTGTGCAGCTGAGTGATGACTCCACGCATGATTTAAATACGATTTATGAAAACACGAATTGATCTGTACGAGCATTAGGCCCTACAATGGCCGAGTGGATTATCAGATATGCGACCATCTGTAACAAATTCAATATTCTCATAAATGAGAAAAGAAACATTCGTATAAGCCATAGATATAAGTAGGAAAATTGCAATTTTGTATCCTGTCGATGGCGAAAACCTGTGAAACAGAAAATTAAGATAGTTCCTCAGAGTTCCGGCTTTTGCAGGTTTTGCTGTATTATTTCATAAGGAAAGATATTAATTTCAATGCCTCGAAGCCTTGTTTAGATTCAGCAGACCAGAAAATATGGAGTAAAGAGAACGTGCCATCTGAAATATTTATAAGATGAAGAAGTGAACCTTTAGATAGAGGACTTAAATAAATATTATTTAAAAATTTAATTAAATTACTTACTTTTATGGGAAACATTTCGGTAATTTTAAAGAAATCATTCATGGACAAACACAGAGATATCTTCCCAAATCTCTTCATAAAATTCAGAATCTATATTTTAATTTGGTTTTTTTAGATTGTTATTGAATATAAATGTAATAACCGTCAAAATAATAGATTTAAATTTTCTAACCTTTAGTTTCTGTTCCAATCCGAAATCACAATCAGCAAATCTTCTAATGTCCTGAAAAGACGTGTGCATCTGAAATAAGGAAAATACAGTGTTTTATTAAACTGAAAATAAAATAATTGGTCTATTTTCTTGTAAAAATTTAAAAATATAATACGAATTGAATACTAAACACAAATAAAATTTAAATTGTTCCTGTGGCTCTATTTCCACGGGACCTTAGAAGATAGCAACAGAAACACAATTAACAATGGCAGAATCGATCTTTTCTTTGAGGCTTTTCCGTGCCTTAAAAGAAATGTCGATTCTGCCCTTCTTAATTGTGTTCCTATGGTTGGAAATGGCGTTATAAGACGATAAATTTCATTGTAATAAAATAAAACTTACACTGGACGTGAAAGTAGATAACAAGAATCCAAACAAAATACACACAAAAGTTATCAATGCACATATTATAAAAATGTACACTCTCATTGTAAATTCTATTTTTGAAAAGATGAAAATAAAATACAACAGACCACTTTCTATTAATAAACAACCGTATGAAACCATTAATACATAATTAAATGGTCCATTGAGTTGTTTAATAAAATTCCAAAGTTCTTGATGTTGCGTTATAATATCTTCCAATTCGAATTCTAAATTGGGATCGTTCTTTTTCAACACATACAATTTTTCTGATACTTTCTCGAATGATTTCATTAAAGTAACTAAGATTAAAACAAGAAAGAAGACCAGATTCACTCCACCACCAACAATTATGATCGACCAAAATCCAATTTCAATGCAACAGAAGAATGCTTCGTGTTTAAAAAATTCATTTTTTTTCATAGCAGGATAAATTAAAACCACGTTTACAGATTGAAGTAGCAACGTAACACTTGCAATTAAAATAATATAAAAAATTTGTGTGTAATTAATAATAGCAAAGAGTTGATCTCCGGGAAAGTAAAGTGACTTTCTCAATTTTACTTTTGAATTTAATTTGATTCTTCTGACAATACTGAACTCTAAGGCTAATGCCAAAGAAATTAAAGCAAAGGACACTATGGTATATATGTCATTCCCAAAAATGGAAAAACTAGAAGTGCAAGGTGTTATACTCGACATATAAGGAAGTGTACTAGAAAAACACAGAAAGAAATGTAACCAATAGAAGCATTCGATGAAGGAAGCGTAAAGTTTCTTCAAAAGTTTGAAGCAAGCGTCGTTGTTCACGTTGCAGGAACAAGGATTGAAAAAATTCCATCCGTAAACAACTGACATTGATGTGAATGAAGATAAAAAGCAATTCAAACACATCTCCTCTGAAATTTCAACACTAGACGAAAAATTTTCGGTTGACATCTTGTATACAAGTATTCTACGGTTGTGACAGTATTGTTGTGGGGTAAAATTGTACGTGTATAATATTATGAATACAAAATAGTTTACTCTCTCACGAGCACATTTATATAAGTGCTGATGCATATGTATGTATTATAATACAAAGATGTAATATTAACATAATTGGATTGCTATGAGAGCATAATTTGCATACCATTATGATAAGATGTTTTTTATGTAATTTCAAATGCACACAAAGTGGTCAATAATTGTAATGATTAACAGAGCTTTTGATAGTTATAAATGGTTATAATTGTTCCATAAATGGAAATAAACCGTATTAACTTTTATAAATTATTTTAAAACTGACAGATTTCAAAACTGTTAGTATGTGGGGGCGCGATTTTGTCCAATTACTTTCAAGCTTAGTAACTCCTATGCCTTTTCTCAAAAAATTCTGAAATTTTGCAGGGAGGCTTGCCTATTCGGGGCATTGTTGCTGTTAAATTTTGGTGATTAAAGGTCGAGGGGATGGTGAAATAATAGAGGTCCTGTTTATCTCCAGTAGGGCCGGACTTATTGACGATTTTACTCGTTTTTAGCATTTACATTTCTTTATAAAACTCATCTCTAAGCTCAAAATTAAGATTTTTGCTATTCTATAATAATTAATAACATAAAAAGATTTTTAAACTAACATCTTTTGGGTACAGTAAGATATAGTCCAACCGACCATTTTGAAAAACAAAGTTTCCTTGTCAAACACTGAGTTACGTGTTAATACAGCTGGATACATTGTATTAAAGCCACATTACCAGCTAATGCAGTCATTAATGTCAATAATATTTACATTTGAAACAAGCAAAACAAGGGTATTGAAAGTGTCTCGTTGTATAAAATCCTGCAGTCCTCCCATTCAAGTTTTGAAATAGTGACATTGCAAATACGTTCGTGTTACTACGCAAATAACTGGAGACTACGTAACCATGATGTCTAAATATTCACGATACAAGGCGATTTCAATGACAATTATTCAGATGGATGAATTATGGCACCAGAAAAGAAGTAATATTCATCTTAATTCTATTGACTTCTGTTATAATTTACTCTGAAGAAATTTCTTATACAAATTTTCGGGATTAATAACAAGTAAATACGTGAAAAAAGAAAGTTATTAAATTAAAAAACAAATACAGTATTGAGAAATTTACTTCGAAACCATTTTGTACATAATATTTATTTAATTTTTCAAATAACATCTGCAGTTATTCAAGTAAACAATATTCAAATTCTCGTAAACATGGATCGTGTTACAGTAGATAAGGTTACAAAAATTCCTATAATCGTAACAAATAGCATTTTCTAATCCTCATGCAGACATATTATCTATATATACACTCGTATAGAGCATTGAACCCAAAACATCTTTAGTTCTTCAGCAAAATGGTAGGCATTCAGAGCTTTCAATGCAAAGGGTTTATTTTTAACATTCGATTTTATCTTTCAGGAAAGTTGCAGCTTGATAACCTTATTTCTCTTGTGTATTGCTTTCTATTCACTAGCAGGTAAGCCATTAATTTAAATTTATAGGATGGCTCATGATTTAATTAACCGAGGTTGTAAATAGGATCACATAACTTTGTAGAGACGATGCCTTGCGTATATAGATTATTTTTAATGGATTTTTTATCGATTTATAGAATGTAAATCCGTGGGAGATATGCCAAACATTTTCATAGACAAAGTGATTGAAAACAATTTAAAAACCAAATCGAATTTTGAAGATCTTAAGCAGTTACCTCTACACGATAAATTGATTACAGTAGAAGTGAAGATTCGCCTCAAGAATGGTAAAATTATGGGGTTATTCGACGTGGAAAGAAACGGCAACTGCCAGGACAGAAGGTTCAGGACACCCTCATACGCGAGTCACGTGTACTGCGTTGTTCGAAGCTGCGATTTCGTCTTCAATCAGGTGATCGTGACACACGACGGATACGTGTACTTGGAGGAAAATGTCCTATTTAGCTTTGAGGTTGAAGTTACTTATAAAAAGGTTCACGTGTATACTGAAATTGTGGGAACGAATTCCTTTGAAAGGCCCTATTTAACTAATTTTACCATTACCAATATAGAACTGGAGAATGTACACTTTTATTATTTTCCACAGGAAAGAAGCGCCTACAAAAATCTTATAACAACCAAATTGCTTGATTATCTAAACACAGAAATGAATTATTTATTAAGATATTACTATTGGAATATTTTAAATAGTGCCCTGTCCAATAAAAACACTCCTCCATTTGTTTTTTCGAATTAAAAAACAATTATTGGATGGTTTAATTTTTTTTTACTGTTTAGGATAATAAGTGTGGTTAACGTTGTTTCATCGGTGAAACTGTAGAACATAATTTATAAAAGCTTTTCTCTTGATGTGTTATTTTGTATAGAATGATATTGTTCAAATAAACAAACAACGTCAACACAAATATCTCGAATGAGTAAACTCCTCAATTGACATGTAAACTTTTCATTTTATGGGTAAATAAGTAAGAAATTTTTGAAAACTTCACTATGTTTTACTGTTCTTTCAGTTCTAATTCAACCACTTTAAACACAATAAATTCGGTTTTTTTCTGTTCATGTAATGTAAATGTTTAAGTTTAGTAATAAAGTAACAGAGGAATTATTTTACATTTATTGGTGTATAAAATTACAAAAATATTTATTTACAGTAATTTCATTATAAATTTGATTAAATATATATATATATATATATATATATATATATACACAGGTATTCCTTGTTGGCATGATAGATAAGTTTCTTGAAAGTAAACTCTCCATAACATACCTAGTAGTCAGTGCCGTAACTAGGGCGGTGCCAGCAGCGTCCAGGCACAGGGCGCAGACCCTGGGGGTACAAAAATGACCTGAACCAAGTTTTGAGTCATAGTTACAGAAGCTCACACCGGGCGCATAAAAAGCTAGTTACCGCGCTGCAAGTAGTGATCTCATTCAGTATTAAATCATATAAAAAAGTATGGCAAATGGATGGCCAAGATAGATAAGGTGTCAGCTTACTGCTCTGGAGGAGTCAGAATTGAATCTGGGATCCACAGGAATTTTTCATGGGCAAATAGTCCCGTGATTGGTATAGAAAAAGCTTTCTTTATGGCCACAAAAATAAAATCATCCAAAAAAAAGTTGTATGTAATACAAACTGCACTAAAATAATAATGCATTAACTGAGGATTACCTGTACAAATTTGTGTATGTTGAACACGATTGTCAATATTTATAAACATTGTAAAAATTTATCATCATACAAAAATTTCAATTTGATGGGTTCAATTTGTATAAAAATTCAATAGAAATTATATATTTATCCTATCAGTTTTTAAATCACATGACACAAAACAACTGGCGTTACATATAATCTGATGTGATTGTGGAATTTCACATTCTGAAGATGGGGAGATTTTTCGTTTCCCAACGTTCTTTCGCAGATATTCCCGAATGTATAATATCCAAACACAATCCGAGAGTCTAGAATAACGGTAATTGTTTTATAAATATTCATTTGTGTCAAAATTATTTAAGATTTTTTAACTGTCTTACTTTTCTCGTATCTTCGGGAAGAATAATGCCGTCTTGTAACATTCGAGACGACCTGTACAGAGCGCTCCCTTTGTTTTCAAACATTTGCAACAGTAAGGAATCTTCGTCCGCTCTTGCAATATCAAAACCTCCTTGCTGAAAAAATAAGAAAATGAATATTTAAAAAATTCTGAAAGAAAGGAAAGTAACCAGAAAACTGCGTAAAGTTACAAGCTTACTTCTAATTTTTCATCAAATTGTGTCTCTGCCAATGGCCAGGAGAAAAGAAAATTTGGTTTAAATGTCCAGCCACACTGAAAATAATGATTTACTAAAATGAAAAAATGTAGATAAATATCAAAAATTATATATGAAGCAACTCAAACAGTTAGTTTATATTTAACAGATTTTATTCTTTGTTAATTTTAAATATAATATGAACAATTTAAATTTAATATATACAACAGAAAGACGGTACGAATAATTATGTTGAAATAGAACTAATTATATCATAAAAGGTAAGTGAAAAATTACAGATTACAGTGAAATTATTCTATTAATTAATGAATACAGAATATTAATTTGTTTTGAGAAATTAAAATAAAATATTTATAATGAGTTTATAATGAAACGTTTCTTCAAAAGCTACTTTTGATATCTTTATTTAATACAGGGTCTCCTTATTACTAGATTTATCACAACAGTAAACTCTATACGTGGTAAATGACGGTTCATACTTCTTTTAATATCTTTTATTTGAAATTTATATGCATTTCAGACTTTTGAATCCCTCTTTAGCCAGTTTTTACAATTATTTTCATGGAAAGCTATCATTATTTTTACCTTACTATTAACATATAAAATTAATTGTGAATTTTTGGGGATATCTACGGAGTTTCACACAAATTTGAATTTGGAAAAGTCTTTCTTAATCGTTTAAATTGTACATAAAATTAGGCTAAAGTTTACAAGAAAATGGGTTGATTCCATTAAATCATTTTTATGTGCTCTTGAACTTCCTTTTTATAAAAGTCCAAGAGAACGTTTTAATAAACCATGAGGTAAAGGAAGCAGAAAAAGTTAAGATCATTTTCAGACAAGCCACTTGGTTGAACCATTTACAAGTCATTTGCACATACCAGCAACTCAGAATGCCACTAATAAACACCGAATGGTAGTTTGTGTGAAAGGCTGCAAAAGCTTAGTGCCACTCGGTGATGGTCATTTGTGGAAGAGAGCCTCATCTCCCTGCTACAGACATAACACTGATGCCCATTTGACTGCATACCTTCAAAATATGAGAATTTCAATGGGAAGATGAATGGATGTAACCGTGTGGCTCATCTGTAGGTGGTGTAAGTGTCACTGCTCTCTTATTAGCAGAATTTTAAAAAATCAAACTAAATTATTCAATACTCTAACCGTAATTTCTAAAAGATTAATAAAAGAAATTTATTAAATTTTAATATTTTCATAGTTAATATGTGTTTTGAAAGGGTAAAAATACAACATTTACCATAGTAAAATTTTCATCTGAATGACAGCCTCCTACATTAATGGTAATCTTTGGCACATTTGCACATGAATGAGCTGCTATCATTTTTGCTCTGTCTTTCAAAATATTACCTGAAAATAAGTGTATAACATCAAGTAAAGCATAAGAAATATTATTAAAATTATTGTTCTTTCTTCTACCATACATGCTTATTACCTTGAAGATTATAATCTAGTTTTTCAGGTATACCAGAGTTTTGTAAAAATATCATTGGAATCAATCTTTTTTGACATAAATGGATAAAATGTGCACCTTTCTGAGCATCGGCAGAGGTGATTGGACCAGAATTAGCAAGTAGCCCAATCAAATACCTTTAAAGGAAACACTAAATACATATTCTGTTTGATAATTATATTACGAATGAATCGTATAACAAACCCTTTTAAAAAGGCAAATCCAGTAATCAGGTGTGATCCAAATTTACTTTTGAATTCTTTAAATCCGCTTCCGTCGACAATTCTTGATATTATCTGCAAATTTAGAAAAAGTTTTGAAGTTATCGTAAAGAAATTATTTCAATACATAAAATTTATTACGATAAATATTTTAATTGTTTTGATATTCATAATTTCTATAGAGTAGTGTTTCTTAATCTAGGGTGCATGCACCCGTGCATTGAAGAAAGCATTACCAGGGATGCAAATGGTGACAACAGGTTTTTATCTTTTAGATGTTTAATATAAAATTTAAAACTGTTTTATGCTGTATAAATTTGATTCAACCATACAGTGTACTATCAGAGCTCACAATAAACTAAAAATACTACAGAAGTGTCCAAGACCCTCACTACTACCCTCTCTACTTTGAACACAATTTTCAATGGGTGTAAGACGACCAAATTTTGAGATTCAATGGGGTTGCGCTCATTAAAAAGATTAAGAAACAGTGCTATAGAGAATACTTTCTGTAACAATTCTCTTCAATTAATAACTGTGTATTCAAGTCCAGATTATTAGTTTGTTCTACCAATGTAATCTCTGTAGAATTCATTCTTAGATAAACAAACTAAAAACATCATTAACACTCCACAGAAGAAGCAAATATCTAAGTAGTGCTTCTATAAGTAAATAGTTTATTTAATATTTTTAGTATATTACTATATAAAAGAAAGTAAATCTCTTAATTTATACTTAAAATTTTTAATAATTTGCAAGTAAGTAACACCTTTGAACCCAAAAAAATATGCGCCACACATTCATTTTTTGTTGTTTGAAGGTATTACTTACTTCAAACTAAGGGTGTGCCCTTCATTTGAGAAGGTTATCAGAAAACTGGAGGACATGGTGCTTCTAGACTATCAAAACCAAATTTTATTATATACAAAATATGTAGATGATATTTTGATAATATGGAAAGGTAAACCTGGCCTTGATGCATTTCTTATGTCGGTGAATAGGAACCCATATGGTCTCGTGTTACAAGTGGAACAAGTCAATGACCAAAAGTACTTTTTTGAATATATTGGTCAAGACAGAAAGCCAAAACATTTTCACTTGAGTATACCACAAAAAGTCATATTCCCTTTATGTATACCAAGCAATTCATATTATACTTTTCCATACAAGATTGCAGTGCTTTGCGTATTGATTAGGAGATCGTTCACCCACTTTCAACAAGGGACAGGATAGAGGAATGGCAACAGAACATAGTTTTTTTTCCAGGCCTTATTAAATCTTTGGTTCAACAGCAAGATAGTCTCAAGGTCATATGTAATTGATAGGAAGGGTGGAGTCCAGGCTGACTTTCTTGACACTAGTCTATTATATCATGTGTATATCATGGTTGAAACATCTTGAGGCCTTTGAGATATACAAGGCAATTAAGGATGGCAAAGTAACTAATTTTAAAGAAAATGAATCTCTACAGCTTGGCAGGCATTTGTTGAACTAGCCTGAGAGCTTTGGTGTCATTTTGCATATCTTTCCTTAACTTTTTGAATGTTAATCTATTTGTTGATCTATTTGATTAATTTTAAAAAATATGTTCTGTTGGTTTGTATTCAAAAATGCCTGACATTTATTACAGACAAATAAAAAGTTCCTGTGGNTTAAAAATGACCCCTGAAATTGGTTTATCACTTCCTATTTCCACATGGCTGTCCCATTTTGCTAAAGTTCATGCCACAGATTCAGTATACGAATGCCATTTAGCAATACTCTTGGAAAGTCTCGTGACAAGATACACAATGCAAGATTTAAATTGTCCATTGGTAAAATTCAAATATACTTTTGAAGAATTCGTCTTATTTTCTTAGATCACAAGTTTTTAGGATGTTTTTACTTTGATTTTAATTAATTTAATTTACCAATTTTGTAACTATTGTCAAAAAAATAACTAACAATTACCGCAAACATATCAGATTTTCCGATAATATTTTTTCCGGCTATACCATTTAATTCGGCAGCCGAATAAACTGGTTCCAAATACTCGGGAGGAGGAGCAAACTTTTCTAAATTAAAAGTTAAAATACTTTCTCGACACATCTCGATCGCTTCGTCCTCCGTTTCGGCAAAATAGTCGGTACAACCGCTAACACTGGAAAAAATTTAATAAAGATGTAAAAAAAAAAAGATTAGGCAAGTGTAAATTGAAATTTTTTGAAATTGTAAATATTAGTAATTATTCATAAAATATTCAGATTTTTCATTAATATTATATTTGTTGTTTTAAGTTTCTCATTTATTCATTATTCTAAACAAATTCTTAAAAATTAAATATGTTTGCTTAAGAATATTATTTTAATATGTTGGATAATTCAAATTTATTTCTCCACATTCATCAATAATTGAGTCTGAGTAATCCTTCACGAACATTGAATTCTCAAACTGAGTTCCATTTTCAATGCTAAATTTGTAATTCAATCGAAGACTTTATGTATTACTGGTGTTTTCAAAAATTTTCAGAAAAATGAATGGTTTTATTATATAAATATACTGCAAAATTGTTTATAGTGCTACAAAAGTCATTTTATTTAAGTCAAAAGACAAAACATAAACAAAACAGTAACATAACTTATGACAGACACCATACAAACAACTGAATGCAGTGATCTTTTAGCATTGTGCCTCGAACATCCAGTTGACGCACCAACTCCAGTTCACAGTAATCTCCCATTTCCCAAAAGGTCGAAACCTTTCATGAAAGTTGAAAGTTTGGTGCATAAATTTCTGATCACAAATGATTAAATTCCCGAATGCCGATGCCAACAAACATCGAGAATATAGTGTATTTAAAATGACATAAACTCTGAAAGTAGTTAGTTCTCTTTTCATTGAAAAGATAAAGTAAAATAATTAAACTAAGATATGATAATTTGAAAGGATCAAAAACCTCTGTACTCATATTATACTTAAAACAAAAAATTTAAAAAATTTTAAAGTATTTATTCTTTGTTTAATAATTGCACTTTAATTGAATATTTTAATTAACACTAAAATAATTTTTTGTTACTACAAAAGAGAAATATTGTGTATAAAATAACCGTTTGTGAGATATAATTCTATTATATCTGATGCAAGTTTTTTTTTATGTTCAGGTAATGGATTTGATCACATAAAATACCAACATCCTAACTACTATAAGGCCAGCAAAACAGAAAAAATCTTAAGTAAAATTATCAAAAATCTCAAATTTTCAGATCTGCTATGCATTTTTTACTATATAGGGTGTATAAAAAGTATGTATAACAAGTGTCTTATTCCACACTGAAGTTATATATAGGATCTTACACACAAGAGCTATAAGTGGTTCATTTGGTACTAGTTGACCAGTTATACCAGTTATGGAAAGCCAGATGGTCGAGCAGTCAATGTGGCAGCCTACCATTTGGAGGATCCAATCGGTAGGCTGCCACTCGACCATCTGGCTGTCCATAACTGATATATATTACCCCCCGAAAAATTCCTGGAGATTTTTCGGGAGGTAATCCAACCAGATATGTCAGACTCCTTCCCTCACTACCCGGCTACCCCACTGTGGGCCTGGCAGCACCCATAATGGGCTTGCTAAAAGAGACCCTGTTAATGCCCATGAGGCAGAAAGAGTTTAAAAATAAAAGAAAAAAATTATACCAATATGGATACAACTTATGGTAATGGATACAACTTACAAGTCTCACATAAAATACCATAACTATTACTTTAATGTCATTCTCAAATGCACAATACAAGCAAATTTCTCACTGCATAATAACTTTTTGGACACCCTGTATTATCGGTCTTTCTAAAAAAATTACAGATTTAAATTATCGGACTAACTTCCATTGAGTGTAGTTATTATATTCATTTAAAATTCGTTTATATTTATATTTTTGGGAGAGCTAATAATATCAAAAATAGTAGGCAGAAAAATTCTTGTTCATCTGGTATAATATTGATAATTATTGTGTATTTTATTTTGTATTATCTTGTATAAATCTATTACATTAATTTGTTATTTTGTACTAACTCCAGCTTTATGTAATACCCCTTTGTAATGAACTAAGGTTCAAATAATAAAGAAATATTAAAAGACAGAGTTCTAAACAGTAAATCTTTTAGAAATTTTAAAATTTTTGAAAAAAGTAAGATTTATTTATTCAGTTTTCATTTTATGAAAGCTTTATTAATTTAATTATACGACAAAATACACAAATGTTATATTTGAAAGAGCTTTGTTCTAAAATTACAATAACTACTTGCTTCCGTGAGTCATATAAAATTTTTTGTAATCTGTAACTCAAGCACTTTCAAATGCTTTTCGTCAATCTTCATATGCAAAACAAAACTTTCAATGGACGAGAAGTGTCCAAAAGTGCTTAGGTTATACATTATAGAAAATTTTGTAATACTCCAGAAGAAGCAAGTACTTATTACAATTTTACAATAAAAATATGAATTTATTAATCAATGTTCAAAATAATAATTTAATTAATTATCATCCTCCTTAACTATTCGTTCAAATTTCAATGTTAAAACATTTGATTGAATGAATGATTAAGGTTCATTTAAACATATATTCAGTATTTCATTAATTAAATATTTTTCTCTTTTACTGCCATTTAATAGAAATAATTTTTAAAAGTGTTTAATTCCAGCATTTCAAATGAACTACGTGTCTGTGATTTATGTAAAGTTTGTATTGTATTTGATAACTAATCAATACTGTCTTATGATATGCCTAGTGTTACAAAAATTCCTTATGAATAAATACTGACATTTTTCAATATCATAGGCAACGAGGAATTTTATACTGTTTGTAGAGTTTTCATATTACATGTAAACATTAACTGGTTTAATTTCTTGTATAATTAAAGTAATTTCAATAATAGAATATCAAACATAAATTATTACCGACAGTGTAAGTCTGCTCCGCCTAGCTCTTCTTCCGTAACTACTTCCCCCGTTGCTGCCTTCACTAAAGGTGGACCACCAAGAAAAATTGTTCCGATTCTGTCGACAATTATTGCTTCTTCGGCCATTGTGGGTGCGTATGCTCCACCGGCAGTACTGCTTCCACATACAATTGCAATCTGTTTAATAATTTAAAAATTATTATTTTTATATTTATTTATGTAGTAACAATTTGTTTTATTCATTTCAATACTTTTTGTATTGTAACAATAAAGATTATTAAATATTAATGCAACAAACAATACTTTATTCATATACATAGGATCTTCCAAAAACAATTCTTCCATTTTAAATTATGGTAATTATGTTAATTATTATCTGAGAACATCATAATGTACATTAAAGCATTGGAAAACTGTTCAAGTTCTACATTTGTCCATTAAAATTTCTTCAGGAATGCATCTCGTGTCACATGATACACGTCCAACCAATACTCAAATTCTTCCACATTTGCTATGGCACATCTGTCATCACTCCTCCCACAGCAGTCACAATTTCACAGCTCCTGCAGATTACTCATATTGCACAATGATGCATAATTTCGACTTTATAGAATAAGTTTTTGTCTTCACAAAACACAAAATGCCTTCTCTATTGTCACAATTTTCACTTACAGTGCTTCCTGGAGGTAGTAAACAACAAGATGTTTGAATGCAGATGGAGATAAAACTCTAACTGTTACTCTATTGACTGGTGTGTGTTGCATACTTCTTGGTTAATAATTAACATAACTTAAAATGGTAGCATTCATTTTGGAAAACACCATATTAGAACTACCTAATACATAACCTGCGGAATTCCTTTAGCAGAACCGACGGCTTCGTTTCGGAAAGTTCTACCTCCATGATCTCTGTCAGGAAATACTTCAGACTGCAATAAAATCAAGACATTAGAAAAAATTATTTCGGCTCTCTGGAAATTTTCAAACTTACTTGAAGTGGTAGAAAAGCACCTCCACTATCTATTAAAATTACTCCCGGTATACGATTAATTGAGCAAATTTTCTGACTTCTGATATTTTTCTCCACCCCTATGGGAAAAAACGTCCCGCCTTTAACGGTTGCATCGGAGCCTCCCGCTAGACAATAATGGCCGTGAATCTGTCCTATTGCTTTAAATGAATGTAAATAACAAGTATTATATTTCTATAAAAATAATTAAATTTTAATTAGTAAAAAGCACATTCTTATCATCATTGGGTAGACAGATACAATTATAATTATCTAATAAAATAATTTTAATAAATTTATTTAAACCCATAAAAATATCTATTGTATTGGACTCAGTAATCAATCAACATCTTCCCAAATACTTTTGAATCTAGTAAATCCATCTTTGGAAGATAGTAGTAAAAAATATTCGTAAGTTCATCTAAAGATAAACTTAATATCGTCTCACATACTTTCTGACCAATTACCATATTTAGTCTAATAAACAGTGCACTGTCTATACCTTTCTCCAGCTTGCAACTGTATCGTTTATTAGTGTGTGCTGGTGTATCTAAAATTTCCAGATTTCACTTTATTAATATTTGAGCCCAACACTTAACACACATTTTATTTCAAACATATAATAAGAGTGACAACACTGAACAGACAATGCATTTTACAGCTTAAAATAAGCCTTATCTTCCTCCATTAAACAGTGCATATAGTATTAGAGGGTGCTGTCCATAACTTTTTTCATCTTGGAGCTACACTATTTATTAAAATAAACACAACCTATATAGTTTTACATCTACAATAAAGTAGCTTTCTTTTTTCAATTTAAAAAGTTAGTGTTTTTCTTGAATATTTAATTTCAAATTATTCTGAAAGGATATTTCTGTTGAAATATGTCTTAATTTGTACTTTTACTTGTCATAAAATCACCTCAATTATACATCACAAATCCAACCTTCAATTACTACTTTGTAAAAACCTGCTTTATAGATTTACTATTGAAAGAATAGCATAATGACCTCAAAGGCTTCCTCAGGAACAACTTTATTCTGATCTAAAATCATATAAATACATCTGAAATTTTATCAGATAAGATTATATTTTCAGTGAAATAATTTTAAGATATATTTAACTTCAAAATATAATTCTAAAAAAATATATAAAATATTTTTGACAGTCAGCGTGTTAAATATTTTTGATTGGAGACATTTAATTACAGATATTATATTCAACAAGTTAACAAATTCACTATAATACTGTACCTACAACCAAGCCAGCAGCCGAAATATTCCCGTAATCCATTCCCAATCCGGCTAGAAGTCCAATTTCTAAAAATGGAGATTCCGGATCGAATAGTTTTTGCAGACGATGTCGTATAAGTAACTTCTTCTTAACATTTACGTGCTTTTTGATAGCCTTTTCGCTTCCTCCGGCCAATGCCATATCTTGAACCGACTTTAAACATAAATGTATTCTGTTTGATTTTTCTACAGAAGTTCTGAATTCTGAACTCTGTGAATCAATTGATCCATCTAAAACCTATTAACATTAAAAAGAAAAGAAAATATAAAACATACTGTTGATCAAATAAGTGTTTACACAATTGAATAATTTCAGTATTGATAAATTTATTCGAATCTCATGTGTAAAGTATAAAAGTATTTCTTCCTCTCTAATTTAATAAACTAAACTAAATATCAACACAAAATTTTCTATTCACAAGTTTCCTTAAATAAATAGTCCATTTAATTTATGACTAGTTAAACACTCAAATTTTCAAGAAATCAGAAAATATTTTTTATTAAATAAATGTATCAGACCATTTGTCATTCCATCATCAGACCTTTCTAACTTAATGAACATTTAAATAACAGTGTTCTAAACCAGTTATTCTGTTTGGGTGTGTAAAATATACATTATATAGAGCTAAACTTCAAATCAAACATTTGAACGACTTCAAGTTTAAATCTATGTAATATTTGAAGTATATTTTACACCAGTAATTGCCACTTGTAACCTGCATGGTCTGTCCAGAAGACAGACAATAATAAGATATTTCAGCACACATTATTTTTCAATAATTGTGTTAAGTATAGCATTGTTCAAAGTCTTGCACGAGTTACAAAAATTGGAATAACCAGTTGTTATAACAGGTTAGTTCTCACAAGCATCCATAACATTCACATTACCGACAAGTTAAGATAAAATGTAAATGGTTTTTTAATCTATTTCCCAACATTTTGGTTTCTTAAAACAGTGTTTTGAGGAAGAGCTTGGTTTGATAATTTTTGTTGAAGTGGTAGATTGTGATTTACACATACAACAAGGTGTGCCCCTTGGCAGTTTAAAAGATGTCATCCTTAAGTCTGATGAAGTTGGCCATTGCTGTTTTACACATTCAAACAGTATAGCTGGTTTATAATGCGATGATTTGAATGTTCATTAAAGTACAAAGATCTCATAATGGAATGACATTCTGAAAAAATTAACTATTTATTTAATACAAACAGGATATTTTCTGGCTTTTTGAAAACTTAAGTGTTTGCTTAACTAATCAATTTATCTTTATGGAGCCATCACATCCCCAGAACTATAACATTATTATTTATTTTAAAACAATTAATAAATATTATATAATAAACTAATAGAGTTATTAACTTACCTTAAAAGAAGGTAATTTTGTACTTAAACGTCTAATAGCGTATTTACAAAACTGAAAATTATTTCTATTTAACAACATTTTGAAGTCATTACCCTATAAAAAAAAAACACAAACACATTTAAATAATATAAATATATTATTATATTATATTAAACAATATACCAATAAGACATCAATTCTTTAATATCATATAATAAACAAACAATCACACATTAAAATGAACATATCATAAATAAGCCAATATTATAAAGAACTTGATATAAGTTATTTTTTAATTTGAATGGACCATATATAAGATGGAAGTCCTGTAAGATTAAAATGGACGTGAAAAATTTGAAATTGCCATATCAGTAAGCAGAAGTGATGGCATCACGCAATGCTGTAATGTGTAAACAAAGCTACAGTCATTGCTAGTCATGTCTAAAGGTGTACATAAGAACAACCATAGACCATATCCATGGAGTAAGAAAAGTCAAAGGAACCAACAATCTATATCTAATCCTTTGCAAAATACCAACTGGGTTGCTCATTAAACATATGATAGGCTTAACAGAGCATGTGGCACAACTCCAATCATGTCTAGGAGTTATTTGATGTGACAGCATTCCTCTTGTTTTCAGAACTTTAGTCCTTTCTAGTAAAGCAGAGAGCACTTAACTACTAGCATTGTTTTGAGGAATAGTTCTGGAGTTTTTCACTTCTAAATTTACCCCTTTTTGAAGATATTCAATATTTCAGACAAGCAGATTTCAGGGTTGTCCATAAATCACATCTACACTAGAAGGGAGAGATGGAGTTACAACGAGTCAAACAAAAGTTGGATAAGGGGGAAGAAAGAAATCGAGCTTTGGTGAATGTCTGTTTATTTCAATAAATTTTATACAGTTTATACATTTTATTATATTTATTTCAGAATTTCTTGTATGTTTCATTTCTACTTATGCTATCTATCATTCATAAACTGATAAAGGTTTTAAAGGGGGTCAAGTTTTTCTGGATGTCCAAAAAGGGGAGAGGTTACGAAAACTTGGACAAACTAGGACAAAAGAGGGAGGGGTAATAAAATTGGATGTAATTTATGGACAACACCAAAGGGTCATATGTAGGCCTTTTGATTTTTTTTACTCATGTGGGCATAGTGTATAACTCTGATAAGGTCTGAACCATCTCGTTCAAAGCTGCAATTTTACCATAAGGCAGAAGAAGAAAAACAGCATAAAAATATAATTAAATTATAATTAAAAAAACGTATACATCATATAATAAAAATAATTTAGTGATATTAAGAAATATAAAGTGAAAGGGTAATTTTGCAGATATGAATGACACTGTCGGGACCTTAGCAGAGCTGAAGAACATGCTCACAAAAGCAAAAAAAGTCAAAGAAACCGTACTTCTGTATGTGACCCTCTGCAAGGTATAGCCTTCCGAAATCAGCCTACTTCCAGGTGCTATAGAGTCACGCCACACACTGCACCAAGCCTATTACATACTTAACAGACAGTTTGGCACAATGGTCAGACATTCTAACAATATTTATCGGTAAAGAATAAAGAAAAGTCTGACACACGGCCCTTCGCAACACGTTTGCCTCCAAATGCAGCAGTTCCAGTTGCCATCTTTCTTGCAGACATCACATTTGCAAGAAAGTTATATTTTAGGCATGGTGACCAAAACCTTTAACATAAATAATAAATGCATTAACTTATACCAATCAAAAACAATTTTCACCTCAAACTAATGCCTATTTTTTGTGCACTGCAACTGTCAATGCCACCATCACTCGCCTCGACCAACACTCTGCACGTAGTTCGAGTACTCCCCAAACAGTCGACTGGATCGAACAGTCAACCACAACAGTCTTAGCGGAGAATGCATCTCGACTCCCAAAGCAAGCCGATTTCGAGGAACTATGGGTGCGTTTACTTTTAGCTCCGATCTCGCCCCTAGCACGCTCAGCCTGTATACTTTTTGTTAGCTACCAATGAGCACAGCATTTACTTTTTGCACCCATTACATCACTGCTAGTATTGGAAAATTTACGACGAGCTTGGAGTTTGTTCAAAGATGGCAGCGTCCATTACTATGTATACTTTTACGAGCACGCTAGTATGATGTCAGGCTGAGCTAGGTGTCAGCTCAGCGAGCTTGAAAGCTAGCAAAAAAATAAACGTACCCTATATCTCGCAAAGGTCACACGTAGAGATATAGTCCCTTTGACTTTTTTGCTTCTATGGGCAAAGTCTACAGCTCTGTTAAGATCCAAACAGTCATTCACATCTGCAACTGTGCCAATAAGAGTATATGTGTTGTACTTATATATATCTTTGTTATCAATACTAAAAAGCTGTGTAATCTAATCAAATATCAAAGTTTATATTTTGTAATTCACAATTAGATTAAACAGGAATAATTTTTCTGTATAACACTTACTTTTGAAATTGATCAGAATTAAAGTGATCAATTTCATAAAGTAAACATGGGGTCAGCAACCTGATAAAAAAAAAGATAAGTAAATAGTCTCATTATTATTAATTATCTGACGTTTCAGAGCTTTTATAGTCTGTTTTCAATCAAATAAGGGTATAAAATATCATAATGAAACAAGAACTTTACTTTAAACGTAGCTTTAATTCGTTAAAACAACATTCAAATCGATTACTACTTACTGAAAATCAGCTGACTGGAGATAATATTTCCACCGCTAGAGGCGCCATTAAGATAATTCGTGTGTTTTTTTTTATGGCGCTAATAATTGATGAAATGTAATTATTTATTTTTTTATTTTTTTCAACGATTTTTTCCTGTCGAATCGAAAAATCGTCAGAAATTTTTCGGGGTGGTCTGACCGGATACCTCGGCCCCGTCCCCCACCACTACAGTGGCTAGAAAATATAGTGTCGAAAGCGCTTATATTTCTCCATTATAACCGTTCGGTCCATATCTCGAGGTTAGTGACGTCACAGACAAGGTGGCGCTGATGTCAATCGTAGTGCTACTTTCGCTTTGGCTACGTGATATCCTTTGTTACAAGAACATCGAAAGCGATTAAATTTGTGCTTGTAAAGTGAATAAATCCTTAGGAAATGGCTGAACAGAAACTTTACTGACTTGTGTATTTCTAATTTATAGATATTACTCTACTGTAATTTTTAATTCTTTTATTTTTGTCGAAAAGGGTGAGAAATCTACATGCATATTAATCTGTAATTTTTTAAGAGAGATTTTTCAAATATAAAGTGTATATGCATGGGTACTTGGCAGTAGACTAATAATCGTTTATTTGTACATACTTAATTTTGTAATTTTATATTGGGACAATAAAGTAACATTCTGCCTTTATATTTTATATACTGTGTAGAATTTAATTGTAATTTTAATATTGCTTTATACTATGTCACATAATACTGTGAACAGTATACAGTATTATGTAACTGATGGCATTTGCTTAATAAATTCTATTTTAGGCCCTCACAGTGGAAGAGGTTCACAAAGCCATATAAAACTTACATTTTATTATTAAAAATATGATAAATTCTGTATTTTTTTAGTAAATATGAATAAACCTTGTTGTTAATAAGGTAATAACAAGAGTAGATTACTCTTGTACTCTAAATAATACTTGTTTGTACAGCACTCAACAGCTGTAATGTAAAAATAGACAATACAGTGTAGGCTATTTGATTTAATAAGAATCTTAATTAGCTTTAATAAAATGAATTCCTTCATAAATGTTAATAAAGTAATACTATATAATAATTGATTGCTAGTGATATGATTTATTATCGATCTAAATTCTTTTACTTGGCTACAGCACATTTACTATGCTTAAAAATCCCACTTAAAACCAATATAAACATAGGATGATACAGCCAGTGTAGCACAACGATTGACAGCAGCGCCTCTTGCGGCAACCTCCAATATAGGGACAGAAAATAAGCTCGATTTCGACACTATATTTTCTAGCCACTGTACCCACCACCTACCATCTCTATTGTGAGTTGGCCGAACTCAAAATGGGCTTGCTAGAAGCGGCCATTTTGGTGCCCACAAAAGAAAAGAGTTAAAACAAAATACCCCTGGGTGCGCCAATGTCACTGGCAGTTAGTCTTAGGTTTGAGCTCCATCGACAGGCTGATTAGTTAAAGATTTTCGGGTTTTCTTAGCGTGTCTAAAATCCAGGGATGAATTTCATCAGTAACGAGTTATAGCTTCATGAAACCCAAGCTGTTATAAAGTGCTCGATGTACAGTGTTGACTTCAGACATTTTTTATTTGGTGAGAGTTTTCTGAGTAAAAGATTTTTGTTTTAGAAATAATCGATTTGGGGTCCCTGTTGGTTAGAAACCCAGACAATTGCCAATTTTTTTCACAGGAGTTTCCTATAAAAAAAAATGATTCCAAGAAGCATCCCTTTGCTAAGCACCCTTCGTATTGCATTGCCTTATCCCATTCATCAACGGCGAACAGCCAACGATAATACAGTACAAAAATGAATTAACACAACACCATAATATCTTTAAAAATTAAAAGTTTATTAATTTTAGAATGATTAATCCAAAATGCAATTATTTAATAAATTTCTTTTCGGAAACTTTTAGCAATAAAATTTAATAAATCAGATCATCCAATCGCCGATTCATTCGTTTTGGAGCCAATGTTGAATTTTTATAAAGAATTTTGTTTTATGCGGATGCCCGTTTTTCTTTCTTAGATGGCATCTCTCCTACAGAAATCTATTGTCTCGACACCACTTCATAATACTGTCGTAGCATTGGTAGGCGTGGTATCGTGTCGCGCCGGTCTTGCAACGAAGCCAAGTGACGAACTTTTCTTCGTTGCCCTTCAACTTCAGAAATCTCTTGACGATTCGATATACGAATTGGTACCCTCCGTCTCTGAACCGTCTTCCATACACGAGTCCAATGCCGGGCAATCTATAAGAGCGATTGGAACCTAGCGGACATCCGAGGAACGTCTTTCTTTTTTTGGTGTTTTTGATGGCCACCGGGTACCCATTTTTTCTTGTTTTCTTGTTAACTTTCGGTTTGGCCATTTCTTGGAAAGACGAACCAACAATGTTTGTTTTTTCTAATAATGGTTTATCAAATAATACGTCGATTGTTATTTTTTAACAATATCGTATTCATTTGTATTTTAAGAATAATTATAAATGTACAAAAAATAGGTATTATGAATATTCGAAATTATTCACTATTAATTAAGTAAATAAATTCGAATATTCTATACAGAAAAGGAATTGGCAAACAAAACAAAATACAGATGGTAATAGCCAGTAGCGTGCCGTCATTAGAAGCGGTGGAAGCGCCGCTTCCCTTGTATTTTATAAAAAATAAATACATATTAATCATAATTATATGAAAATTATCGCACAATATTTTATTATAACCGCATTATATATCTTATTACAAATTTCTATACTACACGTGAAAAAAAAATAATAAGACTGCTGTTGTATATTCCAATATTAGTGGCAAAGCGGAATCTCTGTATTGTCAGATTCCAAAAAGCCAGATTTGCGCACGCGCTGTACAGAGCACTAACCTCACCCGGTTTAGCCGGTGGAAGCCTACGACCTTGAGTTGATGCTACACATTCCAACGCTTCCAATTTTATCCGGGACCGGTTCCGGGCTGTTAGCCGCCCGCCCGTTAGATATTTGGCCGATTACGTGAATAACGAATAGATTTATAACTTAACCCAACCGATAAGAATTTACCTGTATATTTTTACGATAGTTCTGTATAGTTGACAGAAGTTTAAAAAATCCATTAAAGTATTTGATATATTTATTCCGCTCTCCGATTTTATATTACTCGCGGATTTCAATGTTAAACCGGTGATATTACGATTTCCTATGTCCCATTTTTAAGGGGATGTAGAAAAAAACGTGTATAATTCTTGTATAATGTTAAAAAATTAACCGTTACTTTGGTAGTATCATTTACAACTAAATTTAACGAATGAGAGAGATGCACGAAGTACAGAAAATAGTCTAGAATTTATTTTCCTTAAATTTACGATTTATGTATCCGTTTGTCATAAAAATTTGTCTTTCCACTTTTTCCCGAGACTACAAATATTCGAATACAAAGTAACCGGTTTTGACTTATTTGTACTTAAGAAGTAGTTAAATAATTAAGCGATTAGGGAATTGGGGACGTAAACAAAACCCTGACGAAAGAGCCGAAATTTTACTTTAGCAAAAGCTTAACCGACCCAATTTCTAGCCGAGTACAGTGGGAGTGATTTCTTCGAAATATTAGATGTAATAAAGACAGACATTTTTCCAGTTCAAGGAGAGTGGCCGGAAAGTTGTAAATTTTGGAAATTTCCGTGGCAACACCTGGTTTTAAACCGAATTAGAAAACAAACGACGAACAATCTATTAAGTTTAACATATTTAGACTTTTACAGCTATGGTGAGAAATGTTTAAAATTTACAAGAACCCTGTCCAATGTTGCCGTTCTTAGTACATTTGTACTTTTCTGGTACATTTTGCCTTTTCCAGTAAATTGAAAGTACATTTAGATTTTTAGTATATTTTCAGTACATTATAATATTTCAAGTACCATTTACGGTACAAAATAATATTTCACGCCTTAACGAAAAAATGAGAAAAANTATTTAGTATTAATTAAGCGAATGAATTCGAATATTCTAAACAGAAAAGGAATTGGCAAACAAAACAAAATACAGATGGTAATAGCACCCGCTGTTCTTAACTCGTCGCTACTATCTGAACCCGACGCATCTTTTTTTCTTAAAATAAACTATATATTGCTACATACATTGTATAAGATTGTGGAAATACATTGATTAATTACATTCAAAAGAATTGACCCGGCAATTATTTTTATGAAGATGACTTTTACATAAATCCAGTATTCGTGTGGTATTTACCGTCTTACATGATTTTTTCATCATGCTTGTAGCGGTTGCTGCAGCTGACATTTCTTGTATATGTGCATAGTCTTCAAAATGCATTGTTTACTACAGGTTCAAATTTTGTAAGGGTGAAATCTCGCTTTATGTTAATCGTATCTGCGGTCAGAATTCGTTTATATACTGTATTTTTATCTCGTGTTGGATATATTCGAATCTTGCTTCGTTATAGCGACAACTAGATGCCGTATCTCTTCTCGGATAAGAGCGATTGGATCGGTGTACACCAGCTGGTTGCCTCAATATAGAATATTGTTCTAACGTCTGCTGTGTTTGTTTTCCTCTTCTTTAATAATCCTACGGTGTTATTTCAGATGTGTTCTATATTTTTGCATTTGCAAAAAGATGTTCTGACGTTTCTGTCTGATTTACAGGGAGATTGAGATGAGTTAAAATCGTGTTGCCACGATGTTATATTATGCTTTTACTCAAGTGGCTGGAGATTAAAGTGAAAACCTACCATTCCGGGGATCAGGAACCGAATCCAGACGGGTCGAAAACCCAGGAATTTTTCATATGTCGAATCCCTTTTCTCACTATTTCGCAGTTTTATAGTAGCTACTTGAAAAGTTCTTCTTAGTGTTTATAGGCAGAAAGAGCAATAAAAAGAAATGCTTTTTTCTCGTTATTAGCGAGGTTGAAGCCGAAGTTTTAAACGCGAAAACTTGTACGGCGGACAGGGCCGTGCGGTAGATCTTTTTTAGTATGATGCAAGTCTGCGAAATGCCGCCTCTGAAATGCCGCTTATGCCACCCTTTAAATGCTGCTTATGCCGCCCCTATACGGTGCTGCCTGATGCGGCCGCATCTCTTCATCATAGCACGGTACGGCCCTGACAACGGACATTCAGCGCTGCTTTCCTGTAAGTTTAGAACTTTGACGATGGTGTTTAAAATGTCAAGTATAATTCCACTGACTATCCAAACACAATTGTTAAACTTCTAGGCTAACAGAAAAGCGGAGCTGAACGTTCGCCATACACGTTTCGCGTTTAAAACTACGACCTCAATTTCTCTATTTTCACGTATACTGTATACTAAGCGAAATCATCAGTGAAGAAACAAGTTTGGAATACTTATTTGTCCTAAAACTAATTACTTTTAGCAGAGTCAATAGATATACCAATCTCAGCTACGTTCTAAAGTACAGTTAGTGTGTCAGGTTGCCGATAGTTGGTTTATCTATTTGATTAGTAGGTGGTTTTATCGCTTTCAAGCATTTTTGTAACGTTTTTCTGCAAGAAAAAGCCAATTAAATGTTTTGTGACGGATGTAAGTCTGGCTACTGCAAATCTTCTGAGACGTGCCATATTTTTATACAACTTTCGAACCAGTTAGAAAAGTGAAAAAGTATAATTTCTCGAAATGATTTACAACTCAGAAGAAAATCGCGAATATCTGACTTGCAGTTTGATGAAAGATTTCTGATTAAGAAATGTGCATACATTTGAGGGATTATTTTTAATACTCTTTCCGCCCTGTGGGCACTAAGAGGGCATCTTATAGCAGGCCCATTATGAGTTCAGCCAGGCCGCCCACAATGGGGCGACTGGGTGATGAAGGATTAGGCCCAACATATCCGAACGGACCACCCCCCGAAAAATACCTACGGTTTCCTTGACCCTTCTGGATTCGATTCCGGTTCCTCAAGAGCGGTAGGTTGTCACATTGACCGCTCTGCCAATACAATTGAGGGTAAAATAGTTGATATTCCGCCTGGAAAATAGCAATTAATATATTGTGTATGCCTGTTTTGTACATATTTTCTTCTTTCTATGTACAGTGTATCTGTTTAATTAATAAATAGGTGCATTTGCATTTTTCTATATTGTATTTCATAGCATATCTACGACAGTACAATTGGGAAAACCATAGCTCATCCTCTAATGCATTTAAAGTAACGCAAAGCGCTGGAAGTGGCAGAAATATCTATTACTCCACTTTCACAGCATTAGAGCTATTGGTAGCCGATGAAGCAGTATATCTATCGACACTGCTTTTAGACACAAAACCATCATTAATAAAATTTCGATGCATAATTTTATTCTACACATCTGTATTCAGAGAATTCAATTTAAAGGAAAATGATTACTACGTAATGCAACACGTAGATATTTCTTATGTATATTCATGGGCATAGCCAGGAGGAGGCCAGGTGGATTTTCTGGGGAGGGCACGAGGTTAACTGGCACGCCCACCAGTTAACCTCGTTCCCTCCCCAGAAAATCACAGCTGAAAAAGTGTTGAGCCGATTTCCAAAAAGAAATAAAAAGTTGAAGCTTATTTAATTGGGTGTAGAATGTGAAAAGTGTATCTGTAATCTCTATGTACAGTTTAGTCTCTACGGAGTTACGTCACAATAGGATTTCGCATCACCTGAAAATATTGCTAGGGCCGCCTCTGGTTCGGGCAATGAAAAAAGTTTTCTTTCCAATTCGGCCGGAGGAAAAAACTGTTGGCCACCGCTGGTCTAGATCTAGATTAAAGACGGTGAACTATATTAAAGAATGGTAAAAAAAATAATTGATTGGTTAATTTTTGTTTAAGGCTCTGTACACACTAGGCGTTTTTAAACGCGCGTTTTAAAGAACCATGAGTTCTATGTAGGCGTACACACTCGAACGCGCGCTTATAGATTTTTGTTAAAACGCGCGTTTTGCGGGCGTCAGCCGAGCGCTTTAAGATAAATGTGCTGAAATGGAGAACGATCATTTCGATACTGAACTATTTATTGATGAAATCTAAAAGAGACCAAAGGATTTTATAGATATTTTAAAAGAATTAAAAAACTTGGGTTCATTTTGACTTAGTTTTGTATACAACGTCGCAAACATTCCATGCGCCAGTCTATCTCGTAATATTGGGTGCACCCAAAATTGTTTTTGTGTCTGCCATCGTCTTTAATAGCGACGATGGAGGAGCACACACAATCAATTACTTTCACGTCCATTTCCAAACTGAGTTAGTGCGTACCATTCACAAACGCTCGTCGAACGCCGAGCAAACGCGCGTTTAAAAACGCCTAGTGTGTACACAGCCAAAAGCATTGCTAAAGTTTGATATTAATGTTACGAGAACGCATGATTAAAGGAAGTTTCAAATTTTATGTGTGTTAAGTTATTATTGATTCTTATGGAAATTTCATTTTAATGAACAATAACTTGAAATAATTCAATTTTGTGTCAGGTTTTGTGTCCCATAACAAAACTCTGGCTACGCCCATGTGTATATTATTAATACGGTTTTAATTAATACGCGTCATCCAGAACAGCTGGTAAATTCTACATATCTCCGCATTAGGTTCATTTAGAGTAACTTCTATAGAAGACAGTACACGTATTTTATAAATTTACCAAACCAATATTCAAACGTGAAAACTATTTTGACCTCGTACATTGACCTTTGTTTATTAAAAATAATCATTAAATCCAAATATGAGTATAATGTGCATTTCTACTCGGGTTAGAGTCATAATACACAATACGACGAGTGTTCCTCAACGTTTTCTTAGTTAAAGCACTCGTAAATTTTTGCAGCCAAATACAAATCAAATCTATTTTATCGGGATCTAACAAAGTAAGCAGTGCATTATTAACGGTAGATAAGGTCAGAGAATGCTAACGTTTTTGTTCCAATTAATTCTTGGGCACGGACAAATAAAATGGACAACCGTCACCTCACCTCAATTGCCAACAACATTAGGAAGCTAGCTTTAAGAGCAATGCACTTATCATTTCTCATCATCCATTCATAATCCCCCATCGTCTGCCTGTCCATACCCGAGTACGGCCCAATGACAAGAAAGTAGATCACCGACCTGTAGCCTGAAGGAGAGGACTTCCCGACCTCCCCTGCGGCTCACAAATTGGTGTCACGGGAGTGAGGTTTGAATCTAAAAATCCCTAGAAACATCATATATTGCATTGCCTTATTCTATTCATCAACAGCGAACAGCCAATGATAATACAAAAATGAATTAACACAACACCAATATATCTTAAAAAATTAAAAGTTTATTAATTTTAGAATGATTTAATCCAAAATGCAATTATTTCATAAATTTCTTTCCGGAAGCTTTTAGCAATAAAATTTAATTAATCAGATCATCCAATCGCCGATTCATTCGTTATGGAGCCAATGTTGAATTTTTAAAAAGAATTTTGTTTTTATGTAAATGCCCGTTTTTCTTTCTTAGATGGCATTTTACCTACAGAAATCTATTGTCTCGACACCACTTCATAATACTGTCGTAGCATTGGTAAGCGTGGTATCGTGTTGCGCCGGTCTTGCAACGAAGCCAAGTAACGAACTTTTCTTCGTTGCCCTTCAACTTCAGAAATCTCTTGACGATTCGATATACGAATTGGTAGCCTCCGTCTCTGAACCGTCTTCCATACACGAATCCAATGCCGGGCAACCTGTAAGAGCGATTGGATCCTAACGGACATCCGAGGAACGTCTTCCTTTTTTTGGTGTTTCTGATGGCCACCGGGTACCCATTTTTTCTTGTTTTCTTCTTAACTTTCGGTTTGGCCATTTCTTGGAAAGACGAACCAAGAATGTTTGTTTTTTCTAATAATGTATTCGAAAAAATGGTTAAACAAATAATACGTCGATTGTTATTTTTTAACAATACCGTATTCATTTGTATTTTAACAATAATTATAAATGTACAAAAATAGGTATTATGAATATTCGAAATTATTCACTATTTATTAAGTGAATAAATTCGAATATTCTATACCGAAAAGGAATTGGCAAACGAAACAAAATACAGATGGTTATAGCACCAGCTGTTCTCAACCCATCGCTACTATCTGAACCCGACACATCTTCTTTTCTTAAAATAAACTATATATTGCTACATACATTGTATAAAATTGTGGTAATACATTGATTGATTACATTCAAAAGTATTGACACGGCAATTATTTTTATGAAGATGACTTTTACATAAATCCAGTATTCGTGTGGTATTTACCATCTTCCATGATTTTTTCATCATGCTTGTAGCGTTTGCTGCAGCTGACATTTCTTGTATATGTGCATAGTCTTCAAGATGCATTGTTTACAGCAGGTTCAAATTTTGTAAGGGTGAAATCTCGCTTTATATTAACCGTATCTGTGGTCAGAATTCGTTTATATACTGTATTTTTATCTCGTGTTGGATATATTCCAATCTGGCTTCGTTATCACGACAACTAGATGCCATATCTCTTCTCGGATAAGAGCGATTGGATCGGTGTACACCAGCTGGTTGCCTCTATATAGGATACCGTTTTAACGTCTGCTGTGTTTGTTTTCCTCTTCTTTAATAATTTTACGATGTTATTCAAGATGTGTTCTATATTTTCGTGTTTGCAAAATGATGTTCTGACGTTTCTGTCTGATTTACAGGGAGATTGAAATGAGTTAAAATCGTGTTGCCACGATGTTATATTATGCTTTTACTCAAATGGCCAGAGAGTAAAGTGAAAACCTACCACTCCGGGGATCAGGAACCGAATCCAGACGGGTCGAAAACCCAGGAATTTTTCATATGTCGAATCCATTTTCTCACCACCCTGCAGTCTTATAGTAGCTACTTGAAAAGCCCCTCTTAGTGTCCATAGGCAGAAAGAGCTTTAAAATGAAATGCCTTTTTCTCGTTATTAGCGAGGTTGAGGCCGACAATGGTGTTTGGATAGTCAGTGGAACCATGCTCGAAATTCCAAACACCATTGTCTAACTTCTAGGCTTACAGGAAAGCGGCGCTGAACGTCCGCATTACACGTTTTCGCGTTTAAAACCTCGGCCTCAACCTCGCTATTTTCACATATACTGTATACTAACGAAATCATTAGTGAAGAAACAAGTTTGGAATGCTTATTTGTCCTAAAACTAATTACTTTTAGCAGAGTCGTTAGATATACCAATCTCAGCTACGTTCTAAAGTACAGTTAATGTGTCAGGTTGCCGATAGTTGCTTTATCCATTTGATTAGTAGGTAGTATTATCGTTCTCAAGCATTTTTGTAACGTTTTTCTGCAAGAAAAAGTAACAAGAAAATGCCAAATAAATGTTTTGTGACGGATGTAAGTCTGGCTACTGCAAATTTTCTGAGACGTGGCATATTTTTATACAACTTTCGAATCAGTTAGAAAAGTGAAAAAGTATAATTTCTCGAAATGATTTACAACTCAGAAGAAATATGAATACATTTGAGGGAATTTTTTTAATACTCTTTCCGCCCTGTGTGCACTAAGAGGGCATCTTATAGCAGCCCATTATGGGTTCAGCCAGGCCCACAATGGGGCGACCGGGTGGTGAGGGCCGAGGCCCGACATATCTGAACGGACCACCCCCCGAAAAATACCTAGGGTTTCCTTGACCCGTTCGGAGTCGATCCCGGGTCCTCAAGAGCGGTAGGTTGTTACCTTGACTGCTCGGTCAATACAATTGAGGGTAAAATAGTTGATATTCCCTGTGGAAAACGGCAATTAATGTATTGTGTATGCATGTTTTGTACATATTTTCTTCCTTCTGTGTACAGTGTATCTGTTTAATTAATAAATAGGTGCATTTGCATTTTTCTATATTGTATTTCATAGCATATCTACGACAGTACAATTGGGAAAACCATAGCTCATCCTCTAATGCATTTAAAGTAACGCAAAGCGCTGGAAGTGGCAGAACTATCTATTACTCCACTTTCACAGCATTAGAGCTATTGGTAGCCGATGAAGCAGTATATCTATCGACACTGCTTTTAGACACAAAACCATCATTAATAAAATTTCGATGCATAATTGTATTCTACACATCTGTAGTCAGAGAATTCAATTTTAAAGAAAATGATTACTACGTAATGCAACTCGTAGATTTTTCTTATGTATATTCATGGGCATAGCTAAGAGGAGGCATGGGTGAGCACGCTCCCCCCAGTTAACCTGGTGCCTTTTCCAGAAAATCACAGCCGAAAAAGTGTTGAGCCGATTTGCAAAAAGAAATAAAAAGTTGAAGCTTATTTAATTGGGTGTGGAATGTGAAAAGTGTATCTGTAATCTCTATGTACAGTTTAGTCTCTACGGAGTGACGTCACAACAGGATCTCGCATCACCCGAAAATCTTGCTAGGGCCGCCTCTGGTTCGAGCAGTGAAAAAAGTTTTTTTCCAATTCGGCCCGGAGGAAAAAACTGTTGGCCATCTCTGGTCTAGATCTAGATTAAAGACGGTGAATTATATTAAAGAATGGTAAAAGAAATGATTAATCGGTTAATTTTTGTTTAAGGCATTGCTAGAGTTTGATATTAATGTTACGAGAACGTATGATTAAAGGAAGTTTCATATTTTATGCGTGTTAAGTTATTGTCGATTCTTATGGAAATTTCATTTTAATGAACAATAATTTGAAATAATTCAATTTTGTGTCAGGTTGGCCTCTACTAGGCCCCATAACGAAACTCTGGCTACGCCCATGTGTATATTATTAATACGGTTTTAATTAATACGCGTCATCCAGAACAACTGGTCAATTCTACATATCTCCGTATTAGGTTCATTTAGAGTAACTACTATAGAAGACAGTACACGTATTTTATAAATTTACAAATAATTGGTTCAACTTATTCGTATTATTTATGCTTAACTCTAAAAATTAAACAATATAATTTCTAATGTTAAAATTTTGAATTTATAAAAATTTCAATTTATATTTACTGTTTAATCTTTTTACGTTTTGCTTTATTTTACGATTTATTAATATAACTCTTCCAAATTCGAACGAAAATATTATATAACTTTTTCGTTTCTGTCACTGATTTAAATAATTGAAATTAAAATAACTATCACGTGACTATTAAAAAGCAAGATGGGTTCGTCGGACTGTTTGGAGAAAGGGAAAGAGACGACGGAGAGCGAAGAGGATTGGAGAGTGAGTTGCAGCGACGAAGAGAAGGAAAGTTGTCGAATATGGGAACCGAAACCGGAAGAGATATTGGATTTGTACATGAAATTAGAGAAGAGAGGAATCTTGGATCTGGAGTGGCAATGCCCGGGTAGAAGATCTCCCAGTGTCCATTCCAGCGAATCGGAATGCGTCGACAGGAAACAAATGGACGACGAAGATCTCAAGCTCAAGAGGTTCGTCGTCGGTTTGTTTCTTACTTTGTTACGATGCGTTATACGGCAGAAGAGAGTTAATGCGTAAAGTCGCAGTTCTGAATCGGGGGGGTTTGCACTCCCCAGTTTTAAACATCCCTACTCCAATGGGTATAGTCCACGGCTATAAGGTCCTCTCGGTTGCTCCTTCCTGGCCTACTGTGTTAGGAGTCGCTCTCGATTCCTGTCCGGTGTCTGGTGGCCGAGCGGACGGAACCACTGGACGCCGGTACTCGGTCCTGGATTCGTGCCAGGCTGGCCACCTAGTTTTCTTTGTGTTTGTGGCATCTAAATAGGGACGGCTTTTCCCGTAAAACCTTTCAAGAGACATTCCCCTGGCGTGTTGTCCACCAGTTGCATTGCTGCGTGCAAAATGACAATGCTGACGATTGCCCCTGTGACGGGTGTTATTGCAGCCTCGTCTTTGCCTTATTTCCTGCCTGGAATTTTTAATGCGCCGTGTGTCTAAACAAATTCCGATTTGTGGAATACTAACATGCTGATTATCGGAGAATTCTGGTTTTTCGGATACTTTTTGGAGGATGCCGGATTAATGAACCGTTCTGTCTGAAATGCTCTGCATTTTGCTATGTTACGTTAAGTAGAAACTCGTGGACTGAGTACGTTTTTATGCAAATAAGTAAATAAATGTAAAAAATATGGAACTTAGTATATACACATCCTCCCGTAAAAAGAAATTGAGGTTCCGATGGACGGGGGTCGAACTGGCCGTCATAATTAATTTAAGAACTAGAGCGATGCATCTTTAAGGATGGCTAAGGTCGAGGTATTCGGACGTCTGTGATCGGGTTAATGGGCCGTCCTCGGGTATGGACAGGCAGACGATGGGGGATTATGAATGGATGATGAGAAATGATAAGTGCATTGCTCTTAAAGCTAGCTTCCTAATGTTGTTGGCAATTGAGGTGAGGTGACGGTTGTCCATTTTATCTGTCCGTGCCCAAGAATTAACCAGATTGAAAACATTAGCAATCTCTGACCTTATATACTGTTAATAGTGCACTGCTTACTTTGTTAGATCCCAATAAAATAGATTTGATTTGTGATTGGCTCCAAAAACCTACGAGTGCTTTAACTAAGAAAAGGTTGAGGAACACTCGTCGTATTGTGTATTATGACTCTAACCCGAGTAGAAAAGCACATTATACTCATATTTGGATTTAATGATTATTTTTAATAAACAAAGGTCAATGTACGAGGTCAAAATAGTTTTCACGTTTGAATATTGGTTTGGTTTAGTTAGGTGTGTGTATTTTAGATTTTATTTATTAACAATTTCAGTACTCAGTTAATATATAAACATCTATTCCCAATGGAAATTTTGATATCTTACTGTGAGATGCATATCTTTATTTGTCACAGACTATGTAAGAATTGGTCAACACAAATGAATACACATAAAGGAATCTTAACCCAAAAGTCCCACAGGAAGAAATGGGGTGATAATTTTATAAAGGAATTTTAAATTTGAATTTTTAGTGAATTATATAGGGAAAAAATTAGACTCGAAAGTCATCACCAAGAGGATGGCATTGTACAGATATACGTATGACATATACTTGTGTATTTTTTATAATACTAAGCCAAATGTTATTTATTGTAAAAATGTATTTGTTTGCTTTCTTTTTGTTTATAATTGACATAATAGACCAGTAAAAGGAAAAAACTTTATATAAAATGCAGAAGATATGTTTGAAAATATAATTCCTTAATCGTAATGTTTTTAGGTGTGAGCCTAACGAATTTGACTTTGACGACGAAATGTCCGACGGATCCACTCAAAAAATAACGCCGATCAGGAGAACGCCAGGTTAGTTGGATTAACTTACTTTTTGATGATGTATCAAAGCGGTCGCCTTGCAGAAATTTTATACTTCGAATTTCTTCCAGTCGGCGGTAGCAGCAGTGCTCAAAAGCGGGTGGCAAGACTGGACAAAGTCATGCTGGACATAAGACGATATCGTCACCTGGACGAAATGGATAAGAAAATCCAAAAGCCAGGCGACAGGCAAAAGACCGTCTCGAACATTCCCCAGTCGACGGCCGGAAATTAGAACGCGGAGCGACTTACGTTATGTAACATGTAGAGATACATAACTGCATTTTTATTCATTTTTCATCTTCATACTTTTTTAAATATCAATAATTTTTACATTTCATTTTTATTGATTTAAAAAATATTTACATAATATAAATGTTAGCATGAGTGCATGGTTGTTTCTTAGTTAAATTTTACCGTGTTGTGGATTGCCGTAAATATACTTAGTGCCTGCAACAGTTGACATTATCGAGGGGCCGACACTAACATGTATTTGGCCTCAAAGAAAATTTTAATGCATAAATATATTAATATTTTATTATGCCTTTCATTGTAAGATTGCAGTTTCTATTTCTGGATAAATTTTATTTGTATTTTTTCACAATTTTTTTTGAAGTAATTGTCTAATATGTTAAATGAGAAAGGCTTAAATACAAACAAAACTTATATTACCTCAAATTAGCACTTTTATAAACATTTTCATATGCTTATATTAGTACTGTTATATATACTTGAAGACGTCTGTTAAGAGCAGATGAAAACATTTGTAAAAGTACTAATTTGACTCTTCTCGAACTGCACTTTACCAACCTCTAATATGTAGTCTATTTTATTACTGCATATTAAAGGTTAGTAAAGTGTAGTACTAATTTGAGGTAATATAAGCCAGTTTAGGTGTTTTGTTTGTGTTTAAATAATATATTCCAGTATTGGAGAGTAACTGATTAAACAAAAAAGGCTTTTGGACATTTTTTTTAATGAAGAATCGGCATATTTTCGTACAATTGCATTATGACATATTTGACTAATTTATTGACGTAGGTAAATGCATATTTAGAGTTTTCTAGAGTTGGAATAAGCCGACAAAGACGGTCGGTGGCAAGAAGAACGTCTTTTGAAATGGGAACTGATGTATTGTTGCTCGTCACACCCTTAGTTATTGGCTTCAATATCACTTTCTTGGTTTTCATTAATACTTATTTGATAATTTATGTAGTCTTTTAAGAACAAAAACCTTAACAGTTGCACAGTAATTTTGTATAATTTGCATATTGCCATATAACTTTTCAAATCATCTAAAAAAATTAAAGCCAAAATTTCAAGAATTTTGAAATTTTGGCTATGTTTAGTATGTGCTGTTGAGTAACTGTTAACTCTGTTTCCCATAATGGAATTTCATGCTAAGGTTTGAAATTATTTACTTCAGTTAAGATCAAAACAAAGTTTTAAGTTTAAACATTTAATTTGGTGAACAACCCAGAATCTGATATTTTTTATTTTTTTTTGGGTAATTAATCTGTAATATTTTTGGAAAAATATAAAAATGATGTTAATTTTTAGTAGCCAAACAACTTTGTTGCTGGATTAGATTTATTTTGGAGTGTTCTACTCCTCCTTCAGATCCAAATACAGAATAAGAATGATGGTAAAGTTCCAAAGAATAGATTTAAAAACTTTAAAATTATTTATTTTCAGTTTGATAAAGCACAAATTGTAAACACATTTACTGATTTGGCTCACAATAATTAAAAATAGAACTGTACTGTTTACGCTTGGATAAATCTATATTTGTCCATTTATTAAAAACTTATAATTCTAATCTAATGTTTGGAGATAAATACGTCAAATTTTTCCACAATTTTATTTTTTTTCTCTGCGAACGTTAGGCGGTACTCAAGGTAACAAGGCTTTTCCCCATACCAGTATATTCCTAATTACTTTCAACTTGTTGAAAGATAAAAAGTCTCATTTTATAACACCACCCTATAGGCATTAAGAGGGCTTTTTTGGCAAGCTCATCATTGATTTGGCGTGGCCCACGGTGAGGAGTGGAGCCTGACATTCAGACTGCTCCAAAAATATTCCTGGAGTTTTTTGATCCGGGTCTCCTGAGTGATAATTAAGTAAAAACTTTCATTAGTTAGACTATGGATAATTTGAAAATATTTATTTACACACAGACAAGCATTTAAACTATAATCTATAGTTTATTTCTTAAAAAGAATTGTATTTACATTTAATTATAAAATGCACGATTTCAAAATTGACCGTAAATGTTACAAAATAAAAATATGTTTGCATATATTGAATTAATTACATTACGACATATAAATCATATGTGCGTACACAATTTAGTATTAAAGTTAATACTAAACTTACATACCTAATAAACTTTTAAAAAAATATATGCTGCCATATAAAAAAAAAGGTGAAAATTAATTTAAAAAATATACATATGTATATAACCATTTGGAATGTTTGCCACATTCATTTGTCCTCTTTGTATCCATTTGTCAAAGAGCGTTTACTAGTGCTGGGCGTTTCGGTGTCTTCGGATTCCGAACTTCTTGATCGTTTGTTCTGTAAGAAAAATATACAATAAATAAAACTAAAATTATCGACTTCTTTCTTCAACAACTAAACTATTGTATTTCCTTCAATTTTGCTAATAATTATTATTGATTTATTTTAAGTTGAACACAAAGATTCCTAGAGATTTTTCCATAGTTATTGTTAAACTCGTGTAATAATCCAGTATTTTTTTTAGAACATTTTGAATAATTAGAAATGCTTTTTGTTTAGTTTAAACATTTTGTTTTAATAATTGTAATATTCAAATGCTATCGTTCCTATTTCGTTCTGCATTTCATTACTTTTAATTGCCTATGAGAGGGATAAAAGTGAAACTGTGGATCCACTGTTACTGAGTTTGGGACAAGAAGTTCAATTATACAGGAATTAAATGAAAACACAATAGATATATCAATACAGTAATTTAAAATATAGCATTTTTACTTAACGTGATCGCTGTCCTCCACGGGAGCAATGTCCCTGACTAGTGCTGAAGAATTTATTTGGTTATGTTTAATTAGTATATGTATGGAAAAAACATCAAAGACATTATGTAAAATATAATACTGTATATTGTTGGAAAAGTTTTTGTTTATCATATCACTTCTAAGTGAGAAACAAGGTAAGGTTTTAGGATACAAAGAAGGAGTCTGCAAATACGTGTTTCAATGTACACCACTCTGAAATATCAGTGGTAGTGAACATGTTTGAATTCACATTGTAAAAGTGAGATTGAAGAAAGGAAATCTTTATATCCTGTATGATCAAAGCAGATCTCAAACAAGTCAAATATTTTAGGCCCTGTGGGTGTCAAAGTTCAACTGTCATGTTGTCCTAGCAGATAGATGCAACTGAGTTATTTATTTTTAAGAATATTTAAAATAATATGTAACAAATTAATAAACAATCCTTTTTGTTTTAATATCAATTGAGGCATTGGATGAAAAAATGTAATCATATAAAAAATTAATTTTTCAGAAATTGATGAAAACTTGTAAATTTTGTGTTTTAGGAGGTATAAAATCTATTGTTACCCTCTGAGATTTGTTAATATATGCTTCATATGTATGCAACAAACTTAGGTGTATAATTAAAATAACAGTTTTTTTTGGTTAGATCCCATTTTTTTGTAAACCAAAGAGTAAGGCAACTTTGTTTTTTATGGATATAAAACTATCCATAAAACACAAAGTTGCCTTTCCATTTAATTACGAAGAAGAAAGACACCTGTTTTCATGTTGTTAAAGATTTCTACCGGCTTAATTCATTACAGTGACAACTATTCCACTATTCGTGTCTTTAGCAGTTTCCCAACTTGTAACTAGAATGAATGAGTTAAACTCAGGATGGCTATTACCTTACTGCATCTATACATCTTCTCCCTGGATATTCTCATTTCCTCTTAAGCTCTATTAAAAAAAAAAAACATGTTCCCACAAACCATTTTTTTGGTTAGGTATATTCCCAATTTTAAGAAACCCCTCCTCTTCTAAGAGGGTGTTTGTTTTACAGATTCTGGAATATACAAGAGATTTATTGAGAACTCCTCTTCCTAACAGTTTTAATTTGCTTAAATTCCTTTCCGGAAATCACCTTTTATACATGGGGCACATGAGGATTGTCTAAGTTTCTTGTTGCTTTCTTTTATTATCCTTCCAAACAATTGGATCACAAGGTCTTCCCTATATTTAGTTACTTGTTTCCTTCTAATTGTGTCCCAAATATTAGAAGAATCCATACTATTCTGGTAAAAATACCTTATACACAAAGCCAAACATTTCTCATGAAGGCAGCCATGTTAAAAATTAGCATAATTTAGTGACAACTATTAATAAATTAAAGAATCACAGGAAACTGTATTGCAAATTTCACAAGAGTTTCTTATCACAAAAAACTCATACAATGAAATCAAAATATGAATAAACAATAAAACTAAATATCACTATAAAGAATTATTATATAAATTGCAAGACAGAGGAGAGGAGAGGAGAGCATCACAAAGCAACATAAAATACCATAATTGAAGTCCCTAATATTATACAGTAGACTTGTGATTAACTGGCTTAATGTGGTAAATGGACACAAATAAGGAAAAAAACCATGTAACATAAAAATTGTAGATAGGCATTTCATGTACAGTCAAGCACATTGGTGCATTCCAATACATAATTTATTTTTTCAGCAAATGCAAATCAGTAAGATGCCTGCAATTACTATGACGCTATTATCCACGGAATAACTATACATTTTACAAAAACGTTTGCATTTTTACATGTTATTTAATAATACTGTAGTCTAATAGAAAGTACAAAATAATTAAATTTTTATAATTATTCTGTACTATTTGCTTATAAGAAGAGAAATTTGTCTGGTCCAATTAGCCATGTCATAATTGTAGGACGGACGATTGCAAGTCTACTGTATTTGATATTAAAAATTTCTCCCTCTGTTAGAAATCAGAATCTTTTATGATTAATATTTCAATAGACATAGTGAGAGGAACATGTAATAGAATTTACCCTCAGTGTCATCTGCTGGTTTTTGGGATACATCAATGCATTAGCTTTTCTGATAATCGGCTTGTCCTGTAAGAGAAATTTGTTTTTTGTATTTTTATATAATACAGTAAATCATAGCAAACATTAATAAAGTTTGCAGTGGAAAATAATTATACAACCTCATTTTAAATAGAATTTTAATTAAGATTAGAACCTAAACTGGAATTAATTTAAATAACATAAACTAAATCAATGTATATTTGCTTACTGGAGACTAAATTCAATAAAATAAAAAACCATTCAAATGTCCAGCACAATTCTTTAATATCATATTATATTATTTAATATCACAATTCTTTAATATCATATCATATATATCTATATATATATATATATATAGATAAAATTGGTTTAATATTTCTATACTCATACACACAGTGTCTTCCAAAATGAATGCTAACCTTTTAATTTCTATAATTATGTTAATTATTATCTAAGAAGTATGTGATGTACACCGAGAAACTGTCAGAGTTTTGTTTTCCATCTGTATTCAAACATTTTGTCTACTAACTCTAGGGAAGTGCTATAAATGTACAGGAAGAATAATTATTAATAGCTATGTCGGCTAATATTTATCGCAAAGAAGTAATCTGTCTAACTAAGACCAGAGCCAAGCTGGATTTTCTTTTGATGTGCAGGAGTAATGGGGTGTTTCCCATGTCTATATTCCATATTCACCTGCCGCCAGGGAACGAACCTCTCCATAGCAAAGTAAGATGGTATTGTGTGTTTGGCAGTTTGCAGAATTGGAATCATTGTACAACATGAATTTTGTAGCCAATTTCAAAGTGATCCACTATTTAAGACAAACTTTCTTTGGACATTTCCAGAAGAATACAAAACAATTCCAAGTTTGCAAACAGCAGAACACAAAATGCCTTTCCTGTTAGAGTTGCCATTTTCGTTTAAGTCACTTCTTAGAAGTAGTAGACAAGAAGTTTGAATACAGATGGAAGATAAAACTTGAACAGTTACTCTATTGACTGGTGTATGTTGAATACTTCTTCAACAACAAATAACATAATTACAGTAATTTAAAACTGTAGCATTCATTTTGAAGACCCAATATATATATACACACACACATAGATACTTGCTATCAATAACTTATCATCTATCATTAATAAAATCCATGGTTGAAAGAATTAAGGCTGTTATAAAAGCTCTATGTACTGCAACAAAGTACTAATTAAATCATTTAAGTCAACTGATTCCATAATTTTTTCCTACAAATGACATTTAAAAAATTATGTGCTTAATTTACATGATGCTATTTCAATTGTTTAAGTCATATTAATGTAGTCAGACCATTTGTTATTAGAAAATTATTTTGTATCAGTCAGTTGCATGCTTTATTTCTTTGCTACATGCTTATATCATTTCAGGAACGCCCTCACAAGGAGGTAAGTCTACATTTTTTATCACAAGTTGTATTGGAAAAATATTAACCAGGGAGACATTTTATGACATATGCCTACATATATGTTGTTTTTACTAAAAGTCAGATTTTTATGCTGTACAGATTGTTTGCTTGTAAAATTTATGCAACATACACAATCAGTTTCATTATATACGGTGCATAGTAAGGTCTGTATACAGTGACAGACCTTACTATGCACCGTATATAATGAACACACTAATGAAAGCAGCATTGGAGACTAGGAAAAACTAGAAATAAAGTTTTTTTTTTTTGATAATCTGAAACAGTGTCATAATTTTTATTTGTTGCATAGACACTATGCAGTGTAATAAATTCAAACACTTGGCATTCTTTCATCTTTTATTTTAGTTCAGTTGATATGCGTTTTAAATTACACGTTTTGGGTGTAACATGCCCCTCTTTAGCCAACTCGGGATTTTTTACGAACTGGGCTCTATTAGACGAGTACATAGTATGTATACAGCTTATGGATTTATTATTGTACATCTTTGTTATTTTTCTTTTTGGGCCAATACAATTTATGCATTTTAAGGGTAAGTATACCACTAATACGGAACTTTACGTTCATCTATTTTTGTAATTTTAAGTTTATGTTGTATTCCTTCTTATCCTCGTCTAAGAGGCTATTGGTGTTGAATCAAAATTTCATTTCGAATTCTGTTTATTCTTTCTATAAAATTCAATAAACTAGTAAAGCACAAATGGTTGTATCTTCTCTTGCTTTGCTTTATATCATTTGTTTTTACCACTTTTATTGTGCAATATTGTACTAATTAGCATGTTCTTATGCTTTTATCTTTTCTCCCATATTCGCTGTCCTGATGTTGGGTCGTATGCATTTTCTCTTTGAAGGATGAAGTCTACCTTTTCTGTTTCCTTAAATTCATTTGAAAATCTGAAACCATGTTGTAATTTTTATTTGTTGCTTAGACACAGTGTCTAAGCAACAAACAGAAATAAAGTTATAAACAAACACACGAGAAATGAATGAGAAATACACATTTTACCATCTGCGATCTTGATGTGCATATAAGCATTTCACAATTTCTATTCAGGCAAACAGGGTGTCCTTTCATACTAAACAGGTCATCTATATACAGTACCTCAGGATACAAATGCCCCAGCATATGAAATTTTCAGGATACGATCTGTTTAGAAATGGATTAATTTTGTATCCTGAGGTTCTACTATGTATAAGCCCACGACATCACGTCTAACGGAATCCATTGCCTAAAACGCCCACTAGGGGTGCTCTAGCAATGATTTTAAATTAACAATAAATTATTTTTATTTGTAATAGGAATTTATTATTAATATGAATTTATTATTTATACCATTCCATGGTACAAATAATTATTATTTGCCTAGATTAACCTTGCGCCGCATGTTTACACGTGACTCAGTGAACATCGCGCATTGACTCACGGGAATTTGTTGAAAAAATTGCGGAAACATTTAACATCGAGGTTTACCAGAGAAGGTAAATAAACAAATTAACATAGTTTAAAGTTTTAAATAAAAAACTAATACAAGTACATCACCGACGTTATTCACATTTAATAAATTTAAAAAATTATAAATACGACTTTACAAAGTTAAAACTTTGCATTTTGAACAGTGGAAAGGAAGGACAAAATGCAAACTTTTATCTTTGTAAAGTAGTATTTATATCTTTTATAACTATTTTAAAGTATTTATAGAATGTTTAATAACACTAAATAATTATTTTTAATTAGCATCGTGTCTCCTACCATACGAGGACCACCTCATAATTTTGTTGAACAATAAATTATTTTTTTTTGTAATAGGAATTTATTATTTATACCACGGAGAATAACGAATAACGATTCATATATTAAGTGGATCAAACTTGCCTCATGGGAATTTGTAAAGAACGCCCACTAGGGAGTGTCCCGGGCTACTAGTGACGTTATACAGTAGACCCCCTTATAACACTGTTGATAATTCCATGTTATATGAATTCCATGTTGTACGAGTCACTTAAATTTTACAGATACGTGTGCTTGGCTGTGATCAGCTCATGTATTTGTAAAATATAAGTGGCTTGTACAACATGGAATTATCTACAGTGTTTTAGGGAGGTCTACTGTATTTATAATGCAAACTGCTAAACCAATCGAATGACGAATAAGATGAACAACAGCGTAATTAATATTGTTTCATGCAAAAAACACCGTTTTCATTTTCATGGTGTTTGGGTTTTAACATTTCATGGTATAAAGGAAAAATTGGATTTCACGATCTAACATAGGAATATGCCTGCAGTTATCTAATCTCGAGCTATATGGGTATAACACGAATTTGTTAGGAGTGTACTCCTTCAGTAAGAACATTCACTGAACTAGTACCAAGAAATTGTATGAATATCACGTAGTACTAACTCAGCAACGTGTGATATTCACACCATTTTGTGTTATTACTCACATAACTCACGATCAGCTCACGTATTTGTAAAATCTAAGTGACTCGTACAACATGGAATTCATATAACACGGAATTATCTACAGTGTTTTAGGGAGGTCTACTGTAATTGCCTTTCTTCTGTATCATGAATTTTTTTTTGAAATAGGAATACTAAATTCCAAACTTTATCATTAAGGAGTTGCAAGCAGTCTCGTATCATAGCACGTAGTCACTTTACTATAACTAACTTTATAAAAGTTAAAATATTATTAAAAGAAAATTTTAACAAATTAAAATCTCTACCTTAAACCATGGATGTTGAAGTGCTTCTTCCAAAGTAATCCTGTTATTCGGATTAACGGTTAATAGCCTTTTTATGAGATCAATAGCTGAAAATATTTAAATAACTTCACATTGAATAGAAATAGTATTGGCAAATAATTTTATAAAATTTTAAAAATTAACATTTACAAAAAACAAAATCTATATAAATACCTGGTTTAGAAACGTGATGCCAATATTTCAGTGGAAACCTGTAACGTCCTTGAATTATCTGGTCCGTTAAAGGCATATCCTTATAATCATCACTGAATGGAGGATATCCGACTAAACTATATATATAAAAAAAAAAAACAACCTTTTATCTATAAATATCATTAAATACTACTTTTAAATTCATAATAATAATAATTCACATTGTTTTCTTTTCATTTTTGGACTCTCCACCCCACGAGCATTAAGAGGGTCCTTTTTCCAGGCCCACAATGGAGTGGCCGGGTGATGAGAGATGGATCCCCACAAGTATGGGTCAGACCGCCCGTTAAAAATTTTCTGGGGTTTTTTTTTGACTGTCTAGATTTGATCCCAGATCACAGAGAGTGGTAGGTAATTACTCCATCATGTGGCTGGCTGATTTACATTGTAATGTTTTATTGTTATTCACATTCTACATGAAAAAATATTCAATTAATGTCACTAAAATTATGACTGAGCCAAAATTAAAACAAGTATGAACTTCAAATTATAAAAATATAGAAAAGAGAATTTTTATTAATTTGATTCAGAATTATAAAACTGTAATTAAATATAATAAAAATAAATAGCGTTACACTGAAAGAAAAACAAAACGTGGGTGAAGCAATTTGTCAAAAGTTCAAAACTGGTTCGGCAAAGAGTAAATATTTCTCTTTATTGTCTTATATTTTCAATAGTTCTGCCTTAAACTGTCATCTTGATATCAACTTAACAGTCCAAAATCAGGTCTTAAAATAACTATCATTTTAACACTTCATAAGTATTAACAAAAGTTGTGAATCTGTGGTCAGCATACTCCTGCTTAGGACAGGTATATTCAAACAAACGCTACTCTTGCTCTTCTACTTTTCATATTTTTCTAATTTTACGTTTATTTCTAATAATTTATGAAAAATTTTCAGATCATTTATTTTCTATTTAGGGCACACTTCCACACATTAGACAAGTTCTCAGAATCCTACTGTTGATTACCTGATTTCTAGCTCTTCTCATAAATCAATGTTCTCTCTGCATATTCTATTTTTTTTCATTTGTATGACTTTAGCTCTTTCCAATTCACTCTCTCTTTTTTTAATCCTTTTCCATTGAGAGCCACACTGCAAAAATCATGTTAGAATGGGAATTAGTATTCTTTTAATCTAGTGCTTAAGGTCCTCCTGGAAGCTTCAACACACACCTTTGCATCCTTCTCCCCTTCTCGTAAAGGTATCTCAAGAATGCCACCTCTATACAAATCATGTCTTTCCTTTTTATCCTTACAAAGTCCAAAAGAGTTCTATTCCTTTCAATTAGTAATCTCTTCCGTATTATTCTCTCTCCAGTTTCTTATAGAGTTGATTTTCCTAATTCTTTACACAATATATTGATTTCATCTTTTCTTTTCTGATTGACAAAACAGTCAATTAAGGCCTGAGAATAGATGCAAAAAGTGCTCGTAATGTAGGACTACAAGAAACTATCAAATAATACCACAATATTCCATGGCAACTACTTTCTATGTGAGAACAAAAAGTAACGTTACAAATAAAATGCTAAAATCCTTAAATTGAAAAAGCATACTTATTTAGAAAAAGGGTTGAATTGATGAACAACACAAAAAAGGTATTTTTGTAGACTGACAATATTTTTAACACATTGACCACCATCCAGCCCACCGGTGATCATACTGGTTAGGGCCGTACAGAGCCATCCAACCGCCCGATATTGCTATAACCTATATAGTTTCACTCAGAGTTAAATTATCCTGGCTTCGTAAGACGTTCTTTTACATCCTAGTGGTGGCCTCTCGCGCACATCTATAAAGTTGGCTCCCAACCGCCAGTGATCGTACGGCTGTGTGTAAGTCTGATTGGTATGACCACCAGCGCATCGGATGGTGATTAACGTGTTAATGACCTTTTTTGAAGGAAGTGTAGACGTTAGAGGATGTGGAAAAAAATTATTGCAAGTTCCCATGGAAATAGATTGGATGTCGACTCTTACACATTGACAAGTTAAGAAGGAAGAAAGGCAAGTCATTGCGTGTCTGCTAATTAGTCATCGTAATGACCTGTTGGCCCTGTGCCAACGACAAGCATATAAAAAACAATCGTCCCAGGAAGGTCTGAGTACAAGTGTCTCCCGTCCCAGTCCTGTCTGAGGAGAAGCAGGTAGAAGACATAAGACTGTTCCAGCTTCCATAGTCCAGAATGATCATCGCATACCGTCATCTGACAGCATATTAAGATATATCTGAGTGCAGTGACCTTTGTAAACTCTCTCACTCTTGAGATTAGGCATGCGAAAGATTACTAGTTACATCACTGTTATAGATAGATGCGGATAACACATAAATCTAAACATTTAATCAGTAACTTTCTTATGTATATTAGCTCTAGTTATATAAAAAACTCCTTCTTTGTTGTTTAACCTGTGAACCTGTATATCACTGCTCGCACGGATACCTGTTGCTTTCTCAACCCCCTCGCCACTCGAAAAGCAGCCATCCAGTGATGCTGTGAGAGGATCTTACCAATCTGACGATTAGAGGACTCTGTCCCCTCGCCCATATTCTCACATATATATTGTTCAGACTCTAAAAAGGTAGAATTAGTTTATTAGATATTTAAAAAAATCTAAAGTGAAACAAAGGAGGAGTCAAATATTTGGACCAAAATGAATCGAATAGTTATATTTTCAAATTTTAAACTGCCAAGAAACAATTCAAATTCAACTCCTAAATTCATACTTTCAATTTAAAATCAACAGATCAACTCCTTCTTTTTCAATGTGATTTTAAAACACAGATAACCCACTGCTTACTGGCAAGAAACTACGATAATTAACAAGAATGACTCAATGAGAAATCAAAGCATAAAATGAAACTTAAGTCTGATTTTATATTTCTTTCATAAAATATTGAAATAAAGTTTTATTGATATACAAAAAATTTTACTAACCAAATATACAATATTACGCCAAGACTCCAGCAATCAATCGCCTTAGTGTAGCTACCGCTGCCTGCACTTACAATAATTTCCGGTGCGAGGTAAGTTGGTGTACCGCAAAAAGTTTTCAGCATCGTTTGTTCATTAACAAATTTTGACAAACCGAAATCTGTAACCTGTAATTTTTAACAGTTAATAAAACCTTTAATAAATTTAGTTTAACAAAAAAAAAAAAGGAATAATTACCTTTATAACAGTTTCATTCTCTTCACCCGATAAAAGGATATTTTCTGGCTGAAAATGAATAAAGTTTTGTTAAGTATTAGAAGCAAATTGTTAAATTATTTGTTAAGAAAATACTGGATAAAATAGTTAATTACCTTTAAATCTCTGTGTGTTATTTCTTGATCGTGAAGGTACTAAAATATAATGTAATATATTTTTATTTTTACATAAAAATTGTTTCCGAAAGAAGAGATTTGAACTAACCTTTACGGCAACCACCATCTGATAGAACAAAAGTTTAGCTGTGGGTTCGTCGAAATGGTCAACACTCACCACACGGTCAAATAATTCTCCTCCTTCTACTCTGTAATAGAAAAAATTCAAAATTATGTAATAGAAAATTCCAAATATCTTATGTAAACACTATTGCATTTGTATTTCAAACAATGAATTATATTACTTACAGTTCTAGAACTATATACAGTGTATCTTCTGTATCTATAACATCTTCAACTTTCACAATACATGGCTAAAAACATTAAGATTTTTAAATAATCATTGTTATTTTCTTGCCAAACTGAAAGACAAAAGTAATTTCAAAATACTCACATGATCTAACGACCTTAGTACATTCACTTCGTTCATAATATTCCTTTTCTAAATTAAAATATTAAGAATTTTATTTCAAAAACAAAATATTTTGCATTTAAACAGTTAAAACTCGAGTATACAGCAAGACGTCACTATTCCGAAAAATTTTTAAATTAATCCTTAAATCCAAAGATGAATATTGTAACAGTAGATCAACTTTATCTGAAAGTAGATCAGTATAGTTGGCAACAATACTGTATTGTCAGCAAAGTGAAGCAGTTGGATATCAAAACTGCCCAAAGTAATGGCATTGTCTCTTAAATCATCAGAAGTCTGCACCATGTCATTTACATGACAAACAAACAGCAAAGGACTAAGAGTGCGACTATGCAGACGCGAGCAAGCAAATTTTCCAAGCGAGCGAGAATATGTGGCGAGAAAAGATAAATATCAAAACCTGTCAGATATGTGCGAGAACCAGAAATTCGCTCTTGCCAGCGTTATTTCTCGCTTCTCGTTTGTGCATGCTTTTCCTTTGCGAAAACTAAATCGCTCGCAACCTCTCGCTCGCTCTAAATTCGCGTCTGCATAGTCACACCCTAAGGCCTCACCCTGTGGTAGACCTTTTTCTAACTTAAAATCTTATTTGATGTCTGAATGAGTAACAATCCAGGCTTCTAGCCCTGTGAATAAGTTCTGTATTACTTTAATAAATTTATCAGCGCAATACACCGAGGCAACCCTGTAGATCGGTGTTTCTCAACCTTTTTCTCATTGCAGACTGGTAAAATTATGGATAATTTTACATGGACTGGTATTTATTGCATTATGCATATGCAACTATGAATTATGCTTATCTATAGTTTCTGTATGGTAAAAAGTATGTACAGTAAGTCTAGATTACTGCACCAGTTTCAATATGATCAAATATTTTCTGTGGACCAGTGGAATATTTTCATGGACACACACAAGTCCATGGACCAGCAGTTGAAAAGCACTGATGTAGATTAACTTAATATATATTTAACCTTGAGATTAAAACTTGTACAACCAGCCTCTAAGTTAATAAATTTTACTNAACTTAAAATCTTATTTGATGTCTGAATGAGTAACAATCCAGGCTTCTAGCCCTGTGAATAAGTTTTGTATTACTTTAATAAATTTATCAGCGCAATACACTGAGGCAACCCTGTAGATCAGTGTTTCTCAACCTTTTTCTCATTGCAGACTGGTAAAATTATGGATAATTTTACATGGACTGGTAATTATATGCAACTATGAATTATGCTTATCTATAGTTTCTGTATGGTAAAAAGTATGTACAGTAAGTCTAGATTACTGCACCAGTGTCGATATGATCAAATATTTTCTGTGGACCAGTGGAATATTTTCATGGACACACACAAGTCCATGGACCAGCAGTTGAAAAGCACTGATGTAGATTAACTTTATATATATTTAACCTTGAGATTAAAACTTGTATAACCAGCCCCTAAGATAATAAATTTTATTTTTATTACTACAGTTTATTTTTTCATCTCTTGACGCTAACGTAACTGAAGTTTATATAATGTAATTTACGTAAAATTTTTTGATGATAGTTTTAATGCCATTTAAATGATTGTCAAAAAGCTTTAACAATAATCAAAATACAAGTAGATTAATTATCATATTTAGTAAAGCTTATTTAAACATTTTTAGATAAGTCGTATTAAACTTTTTTTTTAACTGTACGTAAGCAATCATTTGTAAAATGAGGAACGAAATATGGCAGTATCTTGGTACTTGAACAATTCGGTATTCAAATACAAATTCTTGTAAAAACTTGCTCGGTACTCAACCGAACAAACGCAATCCGCTAGAACAAATTTTCCATCAATATGATTAATAACATATTTTTATTTCATTGTCCATAAAAATTTTTTATAGAAATAAAAAATATGACAACGTTGCCGACACTGCTGATCGAGATCGACAAGAAAGCCGAGACAATGATACTTTGTAAAAAGAAAACACCATCGTTTAACTAAAATTAATATTAATGTGTAATATGGTACTTTTACTTGCGATTGATTGTTAATAATTGATTGGAAGTCAGTTATCAAAGGCTTTAATAAACATATTTCTCTTAGTAACGAAAAAGAATAGTATACTTTTCCTAACTTCTGGAACTTAACCCTATGTTTTGTACTAGTCCTTTGTTTCGTATAGCAAGGCACTTTTTCGGAACGTTACAGCCGTGTTATATGAGAGATACTCGTATCTTGGAGAATTTAGTTAGCTATGTTTGAAGTCAATTTTTATTCATTAAATAGTATTTTAATTTCCAAATATATTAAATATCATCATTAATTAAACATATTCCATGAAAAATATTATATAAATACACATTCATGTACTAAATTATTTTCATTGAGTTAATTAAAAACAACTGAAAACCATTTTGAATTTCAATATTCATTTTTACATATTGTATACTACTGGGTAATCAAGAACCCGAAAGAATTAGTGTGAAGAGTGGCAATGTTATAAACCAGATGTACTTGTACCACTGACTCGTAGCTAGGGTTGGCCCAAGCTAACGGCACACCAGGCAGTTACCTAGGTTGCAAAACTTTAGGGATGTCACAACCGGCATCAGTTAAAGGGAAATATTATTATTTTAATTAGACATATACATAGTGNTATTATATAAATACACATTCACGTATTAAATTATTTTCATTCAGTTAATTAAAAACAACTGAAAACCATTTTGAATTTCAATATTCATTTTTACATATTGTATACTACTGGGTAATCAAGAACCCGAAAGAATTAGTGTGAAAAGTGGCAATGTTATAAACCAGATGTACTTGTACCACTGACTCGTAGCTAGGGTTGGCCCAAGCTAAAGGCACACCAGGCAGTTACCTAGGTTGCAAAACTTTAGGGATGTCACAACCGGCATCAGTTAAAGGAAAATATTATTATTTTAATTAGACATATACATAGTGTCCAGAGCTGTCACGTGTAGGCATGCAGGTTATTCAATGCACAAAGTTTCTAGTAGTAAAAGCAGAGGGTGATAAGATTGAAATCTGCCTAGGACACAAAAAACTCTAGTGATAAGTGGGGTCAGCCTATCACTGTTTTCTGTGAGTTCTACTTTCATACAATCATTTGCTTTAAAATAAAGCTCCAGTTTATTTTTGTAAGAATCAATGAATCTTTCCTGAATATAAAATCTCATATTTCACATAAAACACAAAATGAAAGACAAATTAAGAAAAAAAAATAGTAAACAGAATACGATTGTGTTTAACCTACCAAAATAGCCTCATTATTCGAACTTGAAAATGTTTTCTTAGAAATAATTTTTAATGCGTATCGATAACAAGTTCCTTTTTCGAATATTAATCGAACTTCCCCGCAAGTACCTCTAAAAAAACAGTTTAAAATATAAATTTCATTTTATATAACAAATATAGAATTAATTTACAATTAACAAAGTTTTAGAGATGAGGCACTTGACATGTAAGTGCACTAGCGAGAGGGTCAAGTAAAGGTTAAATGGTGTATATCTTCATGTAGAGTGATGATGTGTCTGTGTGTGCGTGTGTTCTCATAACATCTTTTGGCAAATTTCCTAAGGTTTTGGAAAATGACTGACTTATACATACATATGTACAGATGCATACAAACACAATATCACTCTACACAAAGATAAACAACGTTAAACATTTACTCGACCCTCTCACTTGCGCACATCAAGCACCTCGTCTCACTTTTGCACATCAAGCACGAGGTGCACATCAAGCACCTCGTCTAACAATGTTACATATTACTGAAAATATCCATTAAATTAAATAAAGCAAAAGTTATGTAAACAAAAATTAAGATTATTTAAAAACATATCTTAATACAAATAATTAAATTTACCTTCCCAACATTGTGCTGACTGTATACTTGTTCGTAATTTGCACTGGATACTGACTATTTTCTTCTGCTTTTTCATCCATATAAACAAAAGCTATAAAACAATTTAGAGGAATTTTACTTTATAAAAAAAAGGAAATTAAAGAACTTTAATTTTCTTAATAAAGTAGAATCCATTTGTTATAATCACTTTCGGATTCACCTGTCTGAGGGTAATAACTGGTCATTATCATTAAATGACCCCATTTAATGATATTGACCAGTTATTACCCAATAAATATGATTAAATTAGTGGAAATTCTAATTTTATCGACTCCGATATTAAAAGAAGTTAAAACAATTAAGTCCACCAGTGACTGAGTGGATAAGACCTCCGAACACTGGTAGTCAGTTGTGGGTTTGTGCCTTGCCAATGGGATACCCACGTGGGTGTTTGTAGTGACTAAATAGGGGCCAGTTTCCCCTAGAAAGACCTTCCAAGAGACATTATCCCTTCCTTGGCAGATTGCTCATGTTTTACATTGCCATATATAAACAAACGAACAAACACAATAAAAATTAAAAATTATAATTATAACTGAAGTAATAAATTCAATTTAAACTATTCTACTGAGAGCTAATAATGATTAAAAGTGAGTATGATTAATAACAATTGAGTGTTAGCCATATTTTGAGACTGATAACAAGAAATAATAGTTTACATATGCTTATTTACCTGGAAAAAAATGATAACTATAACCAAAACTCTGAATAAGTTAAATTTAAAAGTGTATTTTTCTTAGGAAACAGACAAAACAACTATTAATAGCATACTAGCAATGAAAATTCCATAAGCCAGAAGGAAAAATTTTATTAAGAATGCAATTAATGCTTGCTTTTGTACATTTCTTTCTTAACTAAAAAAAAAAATGCTTTCAAGAAAAATTAAGTGCATTAATCTGCCAGTTTAAATGCACATTTCAGGATATTTATCTGCATATTTGCACCTATATTTCAATGTTTTAGTGCATACAAATCCTTGTTTTACTTACGACAAAGAATGACTATGTGCATTGTCATGCAGGACAACTAGATTTAATTACAGTAACTGTGGTTTTTTGTAACAAGTTACTGGATGAAGATGAGGTTCAAGGAAGTGGCAGTAGTTTCTAGTGTTAAATATATGTCCCTGTGGTTATTATATGATTATAACACTTATGTGTTGTGGCATTACAGGAGTGGAGTCTTGGAGAATGAACTCATCCAACTTTAGAAAATGAACTCGTCCACTAGCACTTTCAGTAGCATATAACTACCGTCTTCAGGCAGTCTATCGAATACAACAGCTTAAGATTTTCGAACACTTATCTGACGGTTTCACAAATTTCGGATATTCAAAATTTTCGAACAATATTTCTGTCGAATTAACTGATTTTTCGTTTTCGAATGTTATTTAAAAATTGTTTTTTGCATCGTAGCGCATGGAACGAAAACAGTTTTTCTTAAGCATGTTTTAGGAAGAATAAGGCCGTAAAAGAGCCCAGAACATGCATAAAGTATAAGATATGTCAAAAAGACATCCGAGTAGCAAAGACTTTAGCATCGTGGATTTAGTTGTTTAAAGGCTGTTATCCAAAATTCTGGTAATTCGAGAATTGGGGAGTTGCACGGTTCAGTGGCTGAAATATAGAGACTCTCACAAATAAATAGCTCTTTATGTTCATTGCAGCCTTTTAGTAATTTTGTTTTGTTCCAGAGCGGCTGGTAATTGTGGTCAAGCACTTTCTTTGCTAACTCTGTAACTGGCCTGCCGTTTTTGATATCATCTTGATGTTCAAGAATACATGAACATAACCTTCTAGTTGTGGCCCCCACATAACTGGTTTCTTCACCTGTCAATGTGTGTTTTAGCAGGACTTGGTAGATTCCTGATTTTTCGTTCGACTGATATCTGTCCCTATCATTACATAGAAGTCTTCTTAGACTTGGTGGTGGTGTTATTGGTAGAACAAAACCGTTAGTTTTAAACATATGCGCAATTTTTAAGGAAATGGGACCTAAATAGGGTATTGGGGGATGTGCTATTCTTAGATTTTCCTTAATACAAAGAAAAGTTTGTGGAAATAATTTATTCTTAACACGGTTTTGAAGAAATGTAAATTTACAGAGTGAATAACCAGCATTTAACATGGCATTATAAATGATAAATAACTCTGGAACAATATGATAAATTACCAGCTGCTCTGGAACAAAACAAAATTACTAAAAGGCTGCAATGAACATAAAGAGCTATTTATTTGTCAGAGTCTCTATATTTCAGCCACTGAACCGTGCAACTCCCCAACTCTCGAATTACCAGAACTTTGGATAACAGCCTTTAAACAACTAAATCCACGATGCTAAAGTCTTTGCTACTCGGATGTCTTTTTGACATATCTTATACTTTATGCATGTTCTGGGCTCTTTTATGGCCTTATTCTTCCTAAAACATGCTTAAGAAAAACTGTTTTCGTTCCACGCGCTACGATGCAAAAAACGATTTTTAAATAACATTCAAAAACGAAAAATCAGTTAATTCGACGGAAATATTGTTCAAAAATTTTGAATATCCGAAATTTGTGAAACCGTCAGATAAGTGTTCGAAAATCTTAAGCTGTTATATTCGATAGACCGCCTGAAGACGGTAGTTATATACTACTGAAAGTGCAGCAGATGAGTTCATTTTCTAAAGTTGGACGAGTTCATTCTCCAAGACTCCACTCCTGTAACGCCACAACACGTAAGTATTATAATCATATAATAACTTCGTTGGCGTGAAGTGTCATTGTATACTATGTCCCTGTGGTACACAATCATACAAGAGGATTTCTGGAAGTTGCATGCAATGATCATTAATACTTTCACCTGAAGTTCAAATTTTGTTATTTCTTGTTAGGAGAAAAACAGGAGTATAATATAAAACATTTGCATTACATAATATGCCACGCTCAAGAATTTTTAATCTATACTTTTGTTTTTAAATACATGTAAGATGTTAGGAATAGAACACACATCTTTACTCAGTCTCAATGACAACTAACTCTTTTGTTCTTTACTACTTTCTCTTTTACCCTGTTTTCTCTGAGGTAAAACANATAATATGCCACGCTCAAGAATTTTTAATCTATACTTTTGTTTTTAAATACATGTAAGATGTTAGGAATAGAACACACATCTTTACTCAGTCTCACTGACAACTAACTCTTTTGTTCCTTACTACTTTCTCTTTTACCCTGTTTTCTCTGAGGTAAAACACCTGGCCACTTTATAGTTTCCATTTAAAATAGTACCAAGAAGACTAACAAAGAGATCATTATCTTACATACATTAATTAAATGTTTAAGTCTAAAATAATAATTTATCATTTAAAATATTATTACCTCTATTCTTCTTCACAATAAGGGAGATTTCATCATTGTTAGTTAAAAGTTGTTTGTTAGTTTTTCCTAAAATAATAAAATGGTTTTATTATACATATAAATATATATATATGAAACAATTAATTACAATAGACCCCACTTTACTTTATTTTAAACTCTTTCTGACATGTAAGACTAAGAATCTTCCTTGCATGACTATCACAGTTTCAACCAGGATGACAATAAGGTCACTAGGTATGTTTTTTTTTTTTTAGAATCTTTTTGCCCTGTGGGCGCAAAGAGGGCCTCTTTTTGCAAGCCCATTATGGGTTCGGCCAGGCCCACAATGGGGCTGCCGGGTGGTGAGGGAAGGGGTCTGATATATCCGAATGGACCACCCCTGAAAAATTCCTGGGGATTTTTCGACCCGTTCGGATTCAAACCCAGGTCCCCCAGAGCGGTAGGCTGCTGCCTTGACTGCTCGGTCATCCGGCTGCTCACTAGGTATGTTGGGTATCAACATACCCAGCTGTTTCTAGGTAACTCATCTATGAAAATTTCTAATCCAATCAGAATTTACACCTTGAATTGTCAGGATAACAAGTTAGCACCTTTATCCCTTTTATCCAAACATCGATCGTCACTTTTATTGGTTCCCAGAAATTCTTGTCAAACGAGCCATCGTATTTCTCTCTGACTTGGTGCTATATTTAAATCAATGTTACCATTTTGAATATACAGTTTTGTAATATCACACTGAAGTTATCAACAAATAATAATATAGCAATTAAATATTTCACGTAGTCATGCTTGAAAATGTATACCAGTTGTAAAAGTAGGGGGGGGTCATAAAGGAAAATAATTTTAAACTTAGGATGCTTACCAACTTTAACTCCATTTATATAAGTTCCGTTACTGCTATGATCTTCTAGCAATGTAAATATTCCTGTACTTGTCTTTTCCTGTGAAAATAAAATATTAATGTTAAATTCACAAAAAGTAAAAAGTACACCACTATACATAAAATTGATTGGCCCTGCATATGGTTTATTTTGTAACAAATTAAAATATTATCTTTGTTTTTATATTTATCCTACCATAATGTAAATATAGGGAAGATTTAGCATGTCACGTAGTGAGGCATATAGTCTGCATTGTACTTAAGTGCTGTAACTTAGTAGTAATACAAAAGCTGTCCAATGTTGGATGATCCTTCAGAATCACTAAAACCTGGAGATCTTCCCATCATTGGAAGTAACTTCCTCAATTGTCCATCTACCAAAAAGATCTCATTTTCTTACATTCATCTGTTATATACACTTTCCCCTCCTGCTGAGTTTATTGCCCCTCTAAGGCTGTGTACACATTAGGCATTTTTAAACGCGCATTTTAAAGAACCAAGAGTTCTGCATAGGTATACATACTCAAACGCACACTTCTGGCCAAGTGCACGTTGATAGATTTTTGTTAGAACGCACGTTTTGCGAACGTCAGTCGCATGCTTTGAGATATATGTGCTGCCATGTTCTTGTACATTTGATCGCACACTTTCAGGTAGAGTGGACGTACGTTGGCCAAAATGGAGAACGATCATTTCGATACTGATCTATTTATTGATGAAATCTAAAAGAGACCAGCCATCGTCAAATGATTTTATAGATATTCTAAAAGAATTTATAAACTTGGGTTCATATTGTCTTAGTTTTGGATACAACATCACAAACATTCCATGCGTCAGTCTATCTCGTAATATTGGGTACACCCAAAATTCTCTTTGCCTCTGCCATTGTCTTTTATAGCGACGATGGAGGAGGCACACACAAGTAATTACTTTCACATCCATTTCCAAACTGAGCCAATGTGCACTCTCCACTAAACAGTTGTCGAACGCTGAGTCAACGTGCGGTGTGTACGCTGCTAATGCACATTTAATGCATTGCAAAACGCCTAATGTGTATACAGCCTAAGCAATATTATATATAGCAAACAGCAACCAAAAACACAGGAAAAGTTCTAAAAATATCTACAACTAATAACTATATCTAAATATATGGCAAGGACTGGCACACACAAGTATATCAGTTAAAGCACCTGAAAAAGAGCTCTTCAAAGTTCAAACAATAAAGATACTGAATGCTTTTACTGCTGATATTTGTATTCCAATTCAACAAAAAGTAGGATATGTTGTGTAATATGTCACCAATGAACGCACTGCTCATGTGCTGACAAAGATGGTAAAAGCACTTGATGAATCTTTATTTCTGGTAATGTTTCAATTCGGGAACAAACATTTTCAGCCTCATCCAAGGTCTGCTTCAGATTAAATTAAAATGGGATTTCAAACTTAGAACGTATTTCTTTGAAACGTTTTCAAATGTTAAGATTTTAAAATAAATTAGAACTAATATGTGGGTTAGCATGCACCTATTCTAGACCACGTGATACACATAGCACCCTCAATTCCCAAAGGGCTCACAATAAAGATTGAAATTAGGACCCCACCACCAGACGCACCACAATTGAGTACAACCAACAATTTCATGCCTTACATAGAGAAATTGCAGCCAAAGCAGGCACCAAATTAATTTACAGAAGGTCACCCACTATATATGCATTATTATGAAATGTGAAAGACAAGTCTGACGATCTCAGGGCTCTTGGAGTATACAGTATCCCAGTGAGGGATGACAGGTTTGGGCAAGACATGATGTACAGTACATAGGTTCCACTAAATGTTCCATTCAACAGAGTCCACGAACACAAATACAACATAGACCATGCCTGGTACACCACCGCCCTATCCACCTACACCACCGACCCAGAAGTTCATGCGGACCTGTCCAACACCAGACTGATAAAAAGAGCGTTCTTCACAGATCACATCAGGACCCTTGAGGCCCTTGAAATATATAAGGCTAGCCAAGCAGGGAGATGCATCAACTCTAAAGACAGCAACGCACTCTCATACGCCTGGCATTACATATGCGAAGAGCAAGATGTTGCTGATGTTCCATAGCATGCTCATATAACCTTGTTCCAATTTATTTTTAAATCTTAGCATTTGAAAATGTTCCAAAGAAATGTGTTTGACGTTCTTTAGCTGCTTGCTCAGCATGTTCCTTCTAACCATTTTTTCTCTGATCAGTTCATGAACCCTGTGCTTTCTTGTGGCAGTTAGGGTGTCTAATTAATTGTCGCATTTGTATATAATTGTTCTGACTAACTTTACAGTTGTTGTCGGGGTTGTTTTTAGTTGGATTTTGTTCGTGTAGGTAGAGGAAGATATTCTTATCGGTATGCGGCTTCGCGGCGAATATAGTTTTGTAGAGGCTTTTGCATCTAAGATTCTCGGATTCTGTGGAGACGTTGACTCGTTGGAACATCCAAATATTGGGAAAAATGGGAAACAAAAAATGATGAATATCAGGGAGAGGATAACTACAATAACATTGATGGCTGTATGGAGAGCTGTCAATTGAATTGTTCGTCGGTCAAACTCCGTTTGTTGTTCTCGCTGATTCTCTATGTTGAGTGGACTTTGGGTTTGTTCATTCTTCCCCTCCCCGTGTATCCGTCCTTTCTGAAATCTGTTCCTCTGTTAGTTTACTTCCCTTTTCGTCTGTGGCTATAACTTCTAAGTTCTTGTCTTTAGGCCTGGCTAATTTCTCAATGTTCTTTTCTATATTCAATTTGTTTCTCGGGGTTAGCTGGTATTTTGCAATGAATTCTCGGTGTTTTCTTAATATGGGTTTCCCTCCGATCGCTTTTATGTCAGGTTGCTCTGAGATGCTTTCCTCTGTCCGGATTCCTCGGATAGTAATTTCTTTATTGATCCTTTTCAGGTTATTCCGTTTTGTTATCTTCTTGGGAGTGGCCATGTCTTGGAAGCCTAACACTCTTCCATCTGGGAGCTTTATTATTTCTGTAGAGAGGTTTATTTCTAATCCCTGTTCTTTGATTAAGTCTCTTCCTATCAGTCCCTCAAATGGTTGCGTAATTTCATCGTCTACTATGTAGCATGGATAAGAAAATTGCAAAGGTCCGACTTTGAATTGGAAGTGGTTTTTTCCGTAGGTGTTGATTCCGTGTCCTGTTATGCTTCGGAATGGTATTTCGTTCCTGTTGATCCTCATCTTGCAGTTGCCTAATTTGTGCGCCAATGATCTGGATAATAGTGTGACTGTGGAGCCGGTGTCTATAGCTACTTGAGTCGATTTATCATTAATGAAGCAATGTAATGCAGGTTCTGCATCGGGCGTCTTGACATTACGCTGAGGTGTTGCGTCTCTGAATCTAGATATTTTAATCCCCTGTGTATTTTTTCTCTGTTGCCTAAACTCGCCTCTAAAATTTCGTCGGTTTCGGTTGCCTCTCCTCTCGTATGGCTGTCTCTGAGATCGAGATTGAGTAATCCGAGTTCTCCAGTTACTTCTTGAGTCGCCTGAATTGTGTCTTGTCGCATCTCGTCTTGCTCTGTATCGAGAATTATAATGTTGATTTCTCACGCCGCCTATTATGTTTCTCGGGTCCTCGAATGCGTTCCTATAGCCGTTTCCTCGCTGCCTGGAGAATTCTGTGTGACTTCTTTGCCGCTTTAGTTCGTCTAATTGCTCTTGTAACTGCCTGATTGTTTTGTCCCCACTTCTATCGGAGTATGTATCTTGTAGCCCTCGGGAGTCTCAGGAGACGTCGCCCAGTCTTCTTTGGGGTTGATATTGTGTTTGTGAATCTAGATAATTTCGAGGACGCCACAATGGCGAGAATTTATGTCGAGGATCTCGTCTTCTCTGTTCCGGAATTCCTAATTCTTTTATTTGTTCTTGGATTTCTGCTAAGGTTTTCTCTAAATGATTTGGATTTTTAATATTAGCCTCTTTCTTATTATCTCCTGGATTATTTATAGTTCGGACTATCCCTCGGGATCTTTCTGTTAATTGCTCTATAGTTTCTTCGCTGATAGCAACGCGTACTACCTTATCAAAGGTGTCCGGTTCCCTCGAAATTACCGGTCTTTTTAAGCGATCATTTAGCCCGCTAACAAATTGTACCCTAAATCGCTCATCTGCTTCTTTTTGTTGACATCGTTTTATGATTGCTGCCTCTCCAGGGTCCTCACTTTTATGTTCTATAACAGTTTCTGAGGCTAAAGTTTGCAAGCGCACGGCATATGTTTGAACGTCTTCATCCTGTGCTTGCACACAGGCATGAAATTTCTGCAATCTTAATGAGTATGGAATCCTCTCGAATCGCTTTATCATAAGTTTCTTAAATTCATCGTATGTGTCCGCTGCTTTCATTTTTTCATCCTTCCATGCATAATCTCGGGCTATCCCCGTTAATTTCAGTTTCGCCACGCTTAAGCATTGACCTTTAGTCCAATTAGTCAGTTTAGCTATCTCCTCTATGGCTGCTAAATAATCTGTAACCTTAAGTCCCTCAGTTTCTCCTGCAAAGGAGGGTATCAAAGGAACGAGGGCCCCTAATCCGCCCCCCACGGAACTTCCGGTTGTCTCTCCACGTGCTTGTCCTTCTGCTCTGCGCGATGGTCCTTCTCCCGGGGTTTCCATCTTTCCCCGTAGTTATTTATTTTATAAGTAAATCGGATCCCGCTCTGACACCACTGTGACCGAAGGGTCGGCACCTCTTTGGTGCCCTGTCAGAATGACACCACCGCATCTCGGCGGACACGGGAGCCGCGTTATTTAAGCTCACGCGAGCAGTCGCGTAACGGAGCGATCAGAGTCGAGATAGAAGGAGAGACAACGCACCGGAAGTGACTTACTCAGACGCTTTTTAACGTAACAACTGTTTAATGGTTAACGATAGGATATACATTAGGGCTGCTGTTAGATACATTGCTCGCTTTAGTATATAATAGTATTAAGATATTACGATATTAAGATATTACGTTTCTTCCCGTTTTGAGAGAGATAGTTTACAGAAGTTCGCGTGTCGATAGTTA